GTTGGTCGCCTTTATCTCTTAGTTTGCATTGGTTGACTCAAGCTTTGGGGTATCTCTCTCATCAAATCAGTATGCAGCTCACTTAAAAATTTTTTCAATCGGTGAGCCAGTTCTGAAACAATAAAAAGGCTTTCTCTGTGACTGTAGCATTGCCAAAGGAGAAGTAACTGAATAATGTAGGCCATTTCAGGTTTGGCCAGTTTTGTTGAAGATTGGGTTACATATGTTTTAGCTGTGTGTGTGTGAGAGAGAGAGAGACAGAGAGACAGAGAGACAGAGAGAGACAGAGAGACAGAGACAGACACAGAGACACAGACAGGTTATGAATATTGTTTAGGGCAATAAACTTGGTTAACCTCAAAGATTTAAAAATATATGAATGTTTTATTTCCTTTTATATCCTGTCATATCCCCCCTACCCTCTATGAAATGGTCTAATTCTTTTTTTTTTCTTTTTAAATTTTTTATATTTATTTTCCTACATCATTTTTAAAAAAAGATTTATTTATTTATTTATTTATACAAGCACTGGGTACAGTCAGAAGCGCGGGAGGGTGAGAGAATTCGCCAGAGCCAGAGGGGAGAGCAGAGCAGGCAGACTGACGAATTACACTGCTGAGGGGAGCAGCAGGAGAGGTCTGCACGCCATGTGGGACCATGTGGGACCCTCGCCCGGCGGCCGGTGATCAAACCGGTGCTGTAAAAGCTGCGTGCAGCTTCTCAACCTGTCGCTCAACCGCTACGCCACCAGGGAGACCCTCATTGTATTTTTTCATTGTATTTTTTAATATTTTATATAATTCTTACATCATTTTTCATTTTTGCACAATGTATGCATTTTCATCTTGGTTATAGTCCCCATACAATTGCACCCCCCCCTTATTTTGACCCTATCCTTCCTCTCCCCGCCACCCCCTCTAGTGTGTCTCTGGTTTATAGTTGCTTGTTGATTTTGATTTTTTTCTTTCTTATAGTTATTCTTTTTTCTGGTCTCTTATTTAGGTTTTCTAAATTCCTGCTATGAGTGAGACCATCGGTATTTTTCTTTTTCTTTCTGGCTTATTTCGCTGAGCATGATCCCTTCCAGCTCCATCCATGTTGCTGCAAATTGCATGAGTTTATCTTTTTTGATCGCTGAGTAATATTCCGTGGTGTATATGTACCACATCTTCTTGATCCAATCATCTATTTTTGGGCATTTGTGTTGTTTCCATAGCTTAGCTATTGTAAATAGTACTGATATAAACATAGTGGTGCAGGTGTCCTTTTAAATTAATATTTTTGTGTCTTTTGGGTAGATTTCTAGGAGTGGAATTGCTGGGCCATATGGAAGCTCTATGTTTAGTAGGTCCAGAAATCTCCACACAGCTCTCCATAGTGGTTGGACCAGTTTGCACTCCCACTAGCAGTGCAGGAGAATTTCTTTTTCTCCACAACCTCACCAACATTTGTTGGTGCTATTTTTTTTAATATGTGCCATTCTCACTGGTGTAAGATGGTATCTCATTGTCGTTTTGATTTGCATTTCTCTGATTACAAGTGATGTTGAACATTTTTTCATATGCCTGTTGGCCATTTGCATTTCCTCTTCAGAGAAGTTTCTTTTTAGCTCTTCTGCCCATTTTTTGACTGGATTATTTTCTCTGTTTTTGTTGAGTCTCATCAGCTCTTTGTAGATTTTTGTGATCAGTCCTTTATCATTAGTGTTGTGTGCAAAAATGTTCTCCCAGTCGGTGGGGTTTCTCTTTGCTTTGGTTATTGTTTCTTTTGCTGTGCAGAAGCTCTTTAATTTGATGTAGTCCCAGCTGTTTATCTTTGCCTTCACTATCACTGCTTTGGGTGATATGTCTGTAAAGATGTCATTGAGGTGCATGTCATGTAGTGTTTCTCCAATATTTCCTTCTATATATTTTATGGTTTCAGGCCTTATGTCTAGTTCTTTAACCCAAAATGGTCTAATTCTTCTCACACTTTTTCTTCCCTTTTCCTGTATTGGACTTTATTATTTTTAAGTTGCACATAGTCACAAGAAGCATGTTTTCTGTGGTTTCTATTAAGATATGAATAGGTGAAGTGTTCTTAACACTTTCATAAAGACCCAGTAGTTGGAAGTCTGCAATGCTTCATCCGGACTGTTTTGACTATATAAGAGAAAAACAGTATTGGTATTTTAAAAAAGCCTTCAAAACCATTTTCTCCTGTTTCAAATAGAAAAAAAAATCTTCTTAATGTCCATATGACATCATGATTTTACAAGTTTTTATTATTTGCTTTATATGTCATAAAGCAGGTCAAGAACAGAATGTAAATTAATTTTGATTTTTCAACATCTACTGATACTTAAAAATGTCAAGTAAACTAAATTAAAATCTCTCAATAATAGATGTTTAATTTTCCAAAAAAATTAGATATAACAATAAGGTTTGGCGCCATAACCATGTGTCACCCAGCGTTGCTTAGTTTTTGTTGCTTTCTGTTAAAATAGGAGGGGGGCATATTATTGCTTTTTCAGAACCAAGGACAACTTATACTCATTGGTTGGGAGATTTGTGGTGAGTCCTGAGAGGAGCCGATATTCAGAGGGCTTCTGTGAGCCAACATTTTCTTTTGCAAATGTAATTATTTTTAAAAGAGCCACATATTTGCATGTATTACATTTAGCTATTTTATGGGCTGTCAAGTTTTCAAGGATTCTTTTTGGGTGTGGATTCAATAAAATTGTCCATTTATTTTTATTTACATGGCCTTGGAGTGCTATTGGCTAAGGCTTCTAGGCATTGGTGGTATAATCCTACAAATATTTATTCATTTGAGTTGGGTATCTGAACAATACATAAACACTAATCCTAAAAGGTATGTGTACCCTCCTGCCAATCACAGCATTCTTCAAGTAATGGAAACAGCCTGAGTGCCCACTGGCAGCTGATTGGAAAAGGACGATGTGGTATATATACACAATGCAATACTACTTGGGTATAAAAATGAAAGATGAAATTCTGCCACCTGTAATCACATGGGCAGACCTAGAGGGTATTATGCTTTGTGAAATAAGTCAGGTGGAGAAAGACATACATGAAACAATATGATTTCACTCCTCTGTGGAAGATAAAGAAACAAGAAACAAGCCCTTCTTAGACTGTAAGAACTTTTTAATACTGGTTACAGGGCAGGAGCTGGGGCAAGGAGAAGATACATTAAGTAGAAGCAGTCAGTGGTATTGTGAACAATGGAAACAGATGTCGGTTTATAATGCTATATATCCCTGTTATAAATCAATGTTACTTCAATTAAAAAAGATTAAATGAATTGGATTTTAAGATTCAGTCCTGCCATCATAGTAGTTGTTTGAAACTCTTTGGATCACAACTGGAGGAAACCAGGATTCACGTTCCCACGTGAATGGCTTGTTTTTGGCATGTTCTCTGCTCCAGTGGTTAGAATTATATGCACTTCTAAAATCAATGACCAGATTATCTGGGATATTATTGAAGCCATTGCGTTCAGATTTGTTGTTTCTACCTTCAGATTACTCATAAAAATAAGAAGCTCTGTTTATCTTTTTTTGTTTTTTTGCTAAGAAAAACAGAGCTTTTTGTAGACAAATCCTGGTTAAAATGGGAAAAGTATGAAAATCCAACCTAATGAATCCCTGACTCTCTGGTGCCAACCCAGGTGTTGGGGTGGAGGGGGCTGTGGTCACTAGGCCCACCTGGGAGGTTCTGCCTTCGCCAACCCCAGGTCATTCCCTTTAGTCCAGCCTGATAAGGCCCCAATATCATATTCTTGGCAGTGATGATATAAAAATGGTTTTGGCTAAAAGAGGAACATGGATATTCAGGTCACTCTATTTTTATTGTAATAGAATCTTTTAAGTAGAAAACGGCTTTTTTTTTTTTTAAGAAAGAGTTTTTTTTTCTTTTTTAAAGATTTATTTATTAATGCATACAAGAACCGGGGTACAGGCCAGATGCACGGGAGGGTGAGAGGATCCACCAGAGACAGAGCAGGGAACAGAACAGGCAGACTGACGAAATACGCTGCTGAGGGGAGCAGTGGGCGAGGCAGGGTCTGAGGCAGTGGGATTCTCGCCCACCCGCCAGCTGGGACCGAACCCGCGCTGCAGAGGCTGCAGACACCTTCACAGCACAGCACTCAACCGCCTGTGCCACCAGGGGAGGCCCAGAAAACGGCTGTTTTTATCTCACATAATTGGAAATGCAGACACCTTCAAAGCACTGACTGGCCGCCTTGGTGACAGCAGACCTTGCCTGAAGTGCCAGAATTTTTTTTTTAAGAGCATGTTTTTTTATTTATTTAATTGTTTTGATACATGCACTTACAGTCAAAGCGCGGGAGGGTGAGAGAATCACCAGAGCCAGAGCGGGGCAGAACAGCACGAAGTACACTGCTGAGGGAGCAGCGGTGGCAGAGGTCTGCGCACCATGTGGGACCCTCCTGGGTGACAGCCTCGAACCTGCGGGCAGCTGCAACAGCTGACCGGAGGCCTGAAGTGTTATTCTTAGCTGTGTGCTCAGAGCATGACCTTTTCGCTCTGTGGATAAAGCAGGTGTGTGACATGTTGATGGTGTAATAATATTGAATATGTAAACCTGTTTTATTTCCTGGTTTTGAAAATAAATCTCTAAGTACAGCATCGCAGGGTAGTGGTGCTGGAATTAATTTCTGGGAACACACACCTGTCCCCTGCCACACGACAAAGTGCCGGGTACATCACAGAGAAGTGACTTATCGCAGGTCAGTTGTGGCTCTTGGTCTCCCACATGGCCTGGGGAGGACCAAGAGTCACTTAGTTTGTTCACATCTGCCATGTTCTGTTTTTCTCCTTTATTCTTCAAAGCAGAAGCCCTTTTTTCCTGTGGTTTCTTCTGCACCCCACCCCCACCCTAGTAAATCATCAGTGGGTCTAGTTGGGTTCCCAGATTTTCCTGCAGTAAACTTTCGATAGTGTTATAATTTTGCTTGCTTTCTTTTTCTTTCAGCAATAGGCGAATATGAAGACCTTAGAGCAGAGAACCAGAAAACAAAGGAGAAGGTTTGTGCTTTGCCCTTTTTTCTTCTCTTACATGTGTAACAGCCGAGATGGCATGGTGCATTGTTCTGCCACCAATTTCAGTTAAATGCGAATGAGAGTTTTTTTTTCCCCTTCTTTTCTCCTGCATGTGTGGTTCAAGCTAATATCAACTCCAGGCTCCAGATGGTGAAGAATAGCAGGCATGTCACAGTGGGCGCTGCTCTGTGAGATTAGCTGCAGGGCTAAATGTGCAGTGAGGCACCAGGCCAAACAACTTAAGCCCTCAAGAATGGTACTTTTTCCCAACAGTCAGATTTGGGATTCTAGTGATGGAATTAAAGGCCTGAGACATTTACCTTTGGGACTGAGACACACTCGATTCTTGGGAGATCCCCTTGGAATTAGTCATTGGGATTTAGCCCATATGCCTTCATAAGCCTTCCATGTGTTTGCTTCCTCTAAGAATATGAATAATATGTTGGAAGTTGAACAACACCCAGCATGGAGATGGGGGTGCCTGATAACTATTTTTCAGAGCCTCTGGCAGTTTTATATTTTAACTGTTAAATAATTGAATTCTAATTACTTTTGATAAATATTTACCTATTTATTTCTGAAAATGTCCATTTGAATATTTGTTTATATATATTTTTGTGTGTGTATATATACACAGGTGTGTGTATATACACACATATATATATACACACACATTTATTTATTTATTATATACTTCCTCTAAATTTATAGAGGGAAAATGGAAGAGAAGGGTAAAGTTAAAAAAGTAGAGGGACTGGGTGGAATGTAAAAAGCTGTAGAGAGAGATTGGGGAACTGTCCATTATTGTTTTTAGATGTGAGATTTACTTTTAGAAACTACTTTGATAAACTGCATATTTCAAAACATAGTGTCCATGGCGGAAAAATCAACAAAACAGGCCCTTTGTGGTTTTTAAGGACAGTGACAATGATTGCTGTTAATTATAAGACCTCACCTTCAAAATCTCAGAGTATAAGCTGTAATAAAAATTGGCAGTGAGATAATTTTTTTTAAAACTTATGATGCATTTGGGGATATTTATTAGTATGCTTTCAGCATCTGATTTAACATTTTACTTATATTTGCCACCTATGTGACTATGGAATGATTAGTGGAATTAATGTAATATACTCTAGTTCAAAGCTGATCATAATGGATTTTTAGATTATTACTTTTCATCCAGTTTTAAGATACCACTGCTTATTTGTAACTAACCCCTTTGCTTATTTGTAAATCATCAGGTGATTGAGGGAGTGGTGGGTGGGGGTGATGAAATTACCCATGTTACATGGTGGCTGGTGCCTGTGCCTGTAATATGGTAAGAAGGTCACAGAAAATTGACAAGATTCCTCATTCTAACATCATCACTGCCCAAATCATAGATGTCCTAAGGATGCCAACAGGTGAGAAGGTGGTACCTAAATGATATGCCCCTGATACCTCATATTTTCAAAGTGAAACTAGTGGATGTTGCTTAAATCAGATAGCTTGACCTTCTTTCCCTAAGGTGCCCAGAATTCTCCCAGCTCCAGAAGAAAGAGCCAAGAGGCTATGAGTCAATTGAATTTCTTCCATAGCTGCTCCTGGCCCAACAGGGGAAGAGCAAAACAAGTTAAAAGGGTTAATTTAGGAGAACTCTTTGTCTTACCTTAGAAGATATGAGGAAGGAAACAAACCAGTATCTTCCCAGGAATGAGAAAGAAGGGTACAGAAGACCATGAGTAGTAATGTCAGAAGAGTATATATATTTTTTTCTTCTTTGAGCCTGATTTACTTACAGACTGGCATAGCCCTAAAATCGTGGAGGTTCTGTGAATGTCTGTTGTCGGTGGTAATGATGGCTGTTTAACTGAGGGCCACTTTCTACAGTGAGATTTTTAAGTGAACCATCTGCTATACAAGTGGAATTATAGGTAAAATGCATTTGGTAAAAGAAGAATTATAAATTACCTTAGCCCATTAACTGTTTACATGTTTCTATACACCAAGTATGAGTGATACTTTTGTTACCATCTATATGCATTATTGACCTACTTCTGTTCTAATTCTTTAAAAATAACTATTAATAGAAATGAGCAGAAAAGAAATGAAAGCAATATGGAATGCTGTGTGGTTGGGTAAAACAAAGTAGAGTGGTTTTAAGTTCACTGCACCCTGTTTATCTTCTGTTAAAAGACTAGCAGGCTTATTACTGCAGATTTTTCCCCAAAAAGGGGGGCTGTATTACAAAGGAGGGAAGCATATAATAAAAGCCTTTTATGCAGCATAGAATGAGTAAAAGCAGCTTTAGTTCCGGAGGTGGTAAATGGAGAACACCATTTTCTCTGGCAAAGCACTTTCTTGTGCCTGGCAGGGTGAGCTTTGTTCAGTCCACACCAGTAAGCACATCAGCAAACACACATGGCCAGCCTCACCTCGTGGTCCCAAACGGAGGTCAGTTACATCAGCCAAGGAGAGGAATCTAAAGCAAGACTCCTTTGGCCCTAGCTGATTTGACGTGGACAAATTTTTCATGAGTAAGAGGGAGCAAAAAACCAAATTCCAAGTTGTTCCTCTCTTCCACATGCCCACATGAAGTCTGCCTGTCTTTGTTGCCAGATTTTAAACCTCACCAGTGGGAGGAGACAGTGGTGTGCTTCCTCTGGTGAAGATGTTTTTGAACCCTTGTTGGGATCTCCTTTGAAACAAGTGTTGGGCATGAGGGTGTGATGCCCCTCAGAGCAGGTAGTTACTGAAGAGGCTGTTTGTTGAGGAGCTACTGTGGCTCATGCACAACCACTCCCCTATTTGGTCTGATGCTCCAAACAGTCCCATTTCACAGAGAATAGGATCTCAGGGCTGATGTGAGCCTTCCCCAGATTCCAACAGACGAGAGACAGAGTCTACATTCAAACCTGGGTCTTCTGACCACAGATGTTCTTTGGAAGCAGGTACACTTGCAGGAGCCAATTTACTTTTTCCACAAAAGTCCCAGTTTTATTCTTAATGCTTCAATGTTAGCTCCTTAATTTTCCACAGCAAGTTATCAAACTCAGACTTAATGGTTTTCTGGATTATTTGCCTTTGTCTCCTGTCAGTTTTTATTTCAAAACTGAGTGTTAAGTATCAATCAGTCTTATGTCAGAAATACTCACCTCTGTGTGTGTCTGTGTGTGTGTACACGCATGCATGAGTGTGCATATAGTTCCTGACAAAACGCATTCCAAGGGTAAGAGTAGATTTAGGAGAGTGGACCAATGTTTTAATGATTTTTCCTTTGCAGTTTTCCCTTTTGAAGAAAAATCTATTTGTGGATCGTCTTATGTGTTTTTTTTTTTTAATCAATGTCTTTGAAAATAGTCAGAATCTGAGTTTATGAGGAAAGCTTTTTTGAGGGGATATCTTTTTGTCGAATGCTTTCTGAGTGCCCAGAATATAAAGAAAAGTATATGAAAGTCCTGCAGGAGGGACACAGGAGGGACACAGCTGACGAGTAACGGTGATAAATTGTGATGTTATGAATGAACGCCTAGAGTTTGGCGGGGGGTGGGGGGGTGGGGAAGGCCAGAAAGACAAGGTTCCTTATCTTCCACGTGACAAATTCACATTATTCTTTAATGCTTGCCTTAAATGTCATTTATTTTTTCCCAAGACTTCTTTAACTTTCTCAAAAGCAAGATTGTTTCCCCCTTTGTAATAAAACATTTGGCTAATTCTTAGGTTCTTATCAGATTTTATCAGTCAAAATTCATTATCATCAAAGAAGGAACATGTAAGTGGTATGGATTGGAATAAAATGTAAAACTTGAGGGTTTTTGTGTTTTGACATGTGAGTCCGTGTGTGTACATATACTTATTCTTTACCTGACATTAAGATAAGTCGTGATGATGGAAAGGATGCTACTTTCAGATATTTTTGGCCTCATTTTTAAATAGCATTAGCAACAGTATGTTAATTAGGAATAGAACCTATTACAGTAAAGTCAACAACACTTCCAAATGTATTTTTTTTAGGGATGGAAGGAGAGGACAATGTATTTTGGAATCAAACATAGAAAATGTTTTACTTTGCTTTTGTAGCAATCACCACATTCAAATGTTAGTCATGCTTCTACAATTGAAGGGCATTTCTTATGATTCACTCAGAGTCTTTGTCATAATTGTTTGGTGTCTTTTTTTTTTTCTATATGGGGGGCAAACCCTCATTGAGCTTTTAATGGAATAGCTTTCACATTACCCAGGGTGGTGGGGGTGTATGTGGAGTGTGCATAAAAAGAAGGAAATCTGTATAATAGAAGAATGTCTTCCTTTAAACAGTAAGTATTTATGTTTAATATTATGTCCTGAGATCGAGTTTTGAAATGAATAAATGTTTAAGTGGCTGATTAGAAGTCGTTTGGGTGAGCTACTGTACAGTGCATCAGGCGGTCTGTCAGCTTGCCAGGAACAATGAATGAAAAGGCAACGAGACAGACACTTTCCAAGACTTATGTTTCAAGAAGCAAGATATATGATACTGTTTGCATCTTGGCTCCGTTGTCTCATGTTCAAATTTCTTCCTCTTGTGTGAATTTCAGAGGTGAAGGTCCCAAAGTATTTTATTTAAAAAGATAAAGAAGCTACTTTAAAGAACAAGATATGCATCCATTATGCTAACTGTTCATGCATAATACATCCACATACATGCAGTTTCTTTAGAACAGAGTGGCAAGTGGTTGTGCCAGAGAAAAAGTAATTACTTAGCAGTTTGAAAGTGAAAATGAGTCTCCTATTAACAGCAATCTATCCAGAAACAAAGAGCAAGGATCTCTGTTCTGATGACATGTGTTTCCATCTCACACACAATACCTAGAATTTGGAGAATGCTGTAAGACAGCTTTGGGGGGCAGCTCCTACTTTATTGCCTGTGAAAATTGGAGGGAAAGAACTTTGAATTGGAAGAAAGAACACCACCAAAAGAGAAAGAGTGAAAGGAATTCCATTCTAGTGGGAATGATTTAATTTATTGTGTTCTTTAAGGGTAAGCACAGGGGAGTTCTAGCCAAACTTACATAGGTGGAACAATAGAATGTCGATTATTTTTCAAAATGATGTGATGGCCCTCTAACTGCATCACAAAACAGGTAAATATGTACAGTTCTGATGCTATGCATGTTTAAATTTTTAAATACTGTAACTAGATGGAAAAGGAATGAACGTCAAGAAAAAGAGGCAGCCTCTCCTGTGTGTTCCTGTAGTGCAGTGTTGTTCTGAATATAGCACATGTCCTTATAAATGACTTGTTCCATTTTTGATCTTTCTTGGTAGATCATATATTTTTTGAGGACACGTTGTTGGGTTCCCCATCGCATCTCCCAGAGCTTAACACAATGCAGGACACATGTACAAATATTTTGTTCAATGCTGGAGAAGGAAACAGACATTCAGTGGTTACGGCGGATACCTGTGCAGAAGTGCAATCCAGGCAACTGTAATGTACTGGCCGGTGCACAGAGTGTCTGTTCTGATGATGGTGTGTGTATGAAATGTGTGTATGCACTTCTTGGGCCCCAAATTTGCCTTCCTTCAGGCTGCCAACTCTCCACTGTGCACCAGAGAGATAAAAAAACATGTTTATCTTAGTGGAAGTTAGGTACAATTCAGAATATTGGTTTTCTTTTCTTGCATATAGTATTCATCTAGTAAAATATGAAGATGCTTTGGTGTCTATCTCAGTTACCTGTACTTTTGCTGGAACCTTTTAAGCAAACATTTTAGTATAAACAGTAGTTAGATGATCTGTGAGGGCAAAAGAATGGAACTGCCCATTATGGTGGTGGTAAAGTGGGGAGTGGGGTGTGCCAGTTCACCCTGGAAAGAGTTTCCTCTACAAATCATTCTGCCAAAGCTTTGAAATGCTAGTTTAGTTTTAGAAGCCAGGTATCTGCCTGGATGAGGCTCAAGGAAGAGATCTGGAAGAGAGCCAGCGCTTCTAATATTAAGAGCTTTCAAAACCCACAAGGCCAACCTCTGGTCAATTCAATACTTCATAAAGAGCCAGAATAGAGACTCAAATAGATGTAATGTTATCCAGCTTGCTTCAGACAGCCAGCCCTCTGCTGCTGGGTTCTACCCTAGCCTTGAGCTACAGAGAATCGTTGGGCATCATAATTAAGTGATGTGGGCCCAAGAACATCTGTTGCTATTGCAGCCTTTCTTCGTGAGCAATTCTCTCACAAATGAAGCAGTTTCTACAAATGGTGCAGCTGCGAGAGCAGGGTAGAGACAAGGGTAGGATGGGTGAGGGGCTTCTGTGGGACATAAAGATGTGACAGTTATCTGGAGAGACCCAGAATCCTTGCTAACTTCTCCCTGTTGGTAGAGTGAGAGAAAAGTTACAGGAATATTTTTCTGGGTTCACCTGAAATGATGAAGCAAGTGGATGATTAGACTTCTGCCTAGCAAATGGATATGTCCTTCATATTTTGATCAGCTCTGGTTTGGAATAAGTAAACTGCACTTGCAGCTTGTGTGGAGACATCCCCCCCAGTCCCCCACCATGCACGCCTTTCAGTATCCATAGCAGATGGTAAATTCTGTCGCTGCCAGTTCTATCATAATATGGTTGCAGAAAATAGAAAGCAAAGCAACATGAAGGCTCCTGATAGAACACAGCTGGGTTTGGGAGACAGCTTCTGAATTTGCTGGTAATGACTGTAGATTGAGTGTGAAGGCACCTGGCCGGTCTAGAGAAAGTGGTTCCTGCATGTTGGAATAAGACTGTGATGTTGAGACCTGTTCTTAACCAAAGCCTGTCTGCCTGGGCCTTATGAGTAGAGAGCATGGGCAGAAGAGCTGTATTTTGGGCTGCTGGTACAGATGTACCTAAGATTTGTAATGAGTTGTTAATGTTGTATAAATGGTAGCTGCATTGATGGTTTGTGTGTCATGTCAATGGGTGGCCCTTTTCAGGTCTGAGTAGATACAGTACCATCCTCTTTAAATGCTCTTGTCATGTAAAGTCTCAATGAAAACTCTGGCTATTTAAGTGAGAACTCAATTAACCTCTCTCGTTTCCTTCAGGGGGCAGCTCTGGGAGGTGGACAGAAGAATCCAAGTGGCATTAAGTCCAGAGCAGTACTCCCAAGCACCGGCTCTCAGTTAAAGACAGTTTCACAAGGCATTCGATGCCTTCTGAAATGCCAGATTGAGAAACATGAAATTAATTTCAAAGTCAAATAGATATACTTCATTTGGCAAGAGTTTCAATATAGTAAGAAATTATTTCTTTTTGTGCATTAGACTAGACTGTGAATTGTGGGAGGTGGGGTGGGCAGACTGGCAGAGAAGTACAAAACAAACAGAGTTGCATTCTAGAAAACCAGAGGAGCATTCCTAAAACAGCTCGCCAGCAGTCTCTTGAGATTAAGCATTACACTGGCTGGCGTGGTCCACTTGGGTTGGTGTGGTCCCCTTGGGTGGCAGAAGGATCTGATAAAACTTATTTGAGAATTCAGAACTACAGTGTTTAGAATTTTACATACCAGGAAACAGTAAGTATAGTTTATTAGTTAAGCTAGAGTTAGAAACTACGTTGGAAAGAATTATTTTTTTTATGGAGGGTGGATTTCCACAAGAAATGAATCTCACTGAAGGAATATGTCCTCTGCTTTAGGAAATAGCCCTTGGCCCAGGCCAACCCCTTTTGTGGAGGGTCTGAGTCAGGATTTGTAAAGAGCTTTGCTAATCAGCACAGTGTCCTTGTTGCCTGCCTCTTGCCAGAATGGATTTACCCCAATGCACAGAGACAGGGTTTTGTTTTGTTTTTTAAGTTTTGGTAGTTTGTGGGAGACTAAAGGGGAGAACTGAATTGTTTGCTTCTTAATTTTTTTAATTTTAAGAGAACATTAAAGGACAGAGAATAGTATAATAAATACACGCTATGCAGAATTTTTTTTGAAATTAAAAAAAAAAAATGGTGCAGATAAAATCAGAGATCCCTGTGTCACCCAACCCCAGTCCTTTCCCTCCCTGTCATAAATTTATAAGAGATGATGACTGTCATAAATTTCTTATGGGTCCCTTTGTTTCATGTTTTTATGTTTTTATATGAACCATATGTGTCATGAGCTAGAAACATACAGTGTGTAACTATGTAAAGTATTTTTGTGAGCTTATGGTGTCATACCATTTGATATTTATTCTGCAACTTATGCAGAATAATTTTCCCAATGTTATGTTTTTTGAGGCTTACCTATGGGGATACATGCTGTTTTTAGTTTGTGTTCACTGCTCTGTAGTGTTATTATGGGAGTATATCATGATTTAGTATTTTAATAAATGCTGACCCTACTTGTATAGATCGTCATCTACCCATTCATTACTAGAGATTCTAGTAGTAGATTCTAGATGTAGCAGTGCTGAGTGACAGGTGTGTACTTTTCCAGTTTTAATAGTTTACTTCAAAGTAGTCTGTGCCTTCAACACTTCTGTCAGCTGTGAGATCATTCCCATCTCCTGGTAGCAGACATTTTCGTGTTTGCCCACCTGTTACATGAAAATCTCACTATTTAAAGGGATAAGCCTTGGCCCTTCTTTTGTGAAAAGTTTTGGATTTTGGATAATCCAATTTATCAGTGGCATCATAATTTTTTTTTAAAACATTCACTTATGCATACAAGAGCTGGGGTGTAGCACAGAGGTGTGGGGGAGGAGGGAGGGTTGAGAGGATTCACCAGAGACAGAGTAGGGAGCAGAACAGACAGATTGACTGAAACACACTGCTGAGGGGAGCAGCTGGCGAGTCAGGAGCGGTCTGCTGTGCCATGTGGGTCAGCTCCCTGGCCAGGTATCGAACTTGTGCTGCAGTGGCTATAGACCACCTCACAGCGCTGAGACCTAACCCCTTGCGCCACCAGGGAGGCTGTGGCATCATACTTTTTAACCTTTGAAAATTGAAATTAGAAATATGCAAAGGCATGAAATCCCAATGTATTTATCTGGCATGCTAGGGTCCAAAATAGACTTTAAAGTTTTATTTTATTCATATGATCTTATTACTTACAGTGTCACCACAAAATTAAATTTCAGTTATCACTCTACTAGCCCAAAACTCTCAAACTCTTTAAAGTTTGAAACAGTTTTGATGAAAATCTTTCTGAAATGTGTTATGTATTCCTATTTTGTGAAATTCAGGGTTAATTGCATTCAAATCTCATAATGAACATAATGTTTTCCAAAAGTTCATTAATAACTTTATTGGCCTATAAAATAATAGAGATTTGTTTCTACACCAGACACCCTCGAAGGTCCTCATCCTTTATCATTTTTGCCTTTTAAGGACTGCTTCCTGAAGTCCTTTCACTCAGTCTTCCCACCTTTAAAAATTAACTATCAGTTGATGTAAATGATACGTGCTTACTATGGAATATTTCACCTTCTCTCCGTGTAATTTGCTGTCTTCTATTCAGAATTCCAAGGACACAGGAGGATTAGGTCTTGAGTGAGAGTACACGGGGCACATGTGGGGATTGGTCTTCATTCTGAGGCTCCTCCCACTCGAGCATCAGTGTTCTGGGGAGTTGAAACTGTCTCATTTCAGGGAATCTGACCCTCAGATGAGTGAGGTGTTCACTGTGCTAGTAAAAGTAAAATACCTACTTAAAAGGCACAAGTAATCTCTTAAAGAATGAATCCATTTTAACTCAAGCATCATAAATTGGTCTGCTACTGAGAGATAATGAGCAGCAAGGTGACTCATTATCTTAGACAGTTCAAGAAAATTGGCCAGACACAAATGGCCACACACCATACCAGTTGAGCTGTGCACGTGCCTTGTGACTGTTCCTGCTTTTTTTAAGCTCTTAAAATTTTCTATTGTCATAAAATTGCTGTTTATAGATTTTTCTTTCTCGCTTGTTCAAACTTGGGGTACAACTTAACTTTGCTGTTCCTTTTCTCATTGCAGTGTGACAAAATCAGGCAAGAACGAGATGAAGCGGTTAAAAAATTGGAGGAATTTCAGAAAAGTAGGTAAACGTTTCAGTGGAATCATTGCAACACACGTAACAGTGTCTGGGGATTATGCGAGTCTGCATGTGTTCTGTGTTTAGTTCCTGATAAATGGAGGCTCCACTCAGAAAGCAAAAATTGTCTTCCCATTTGTCTAAAAATGCTCCTGCATGACTGAGATTTTTTTTTTGAAGATTTATTTATTTATTTATACAAGCACTGGGTACGGTCAGAAGCGCAGAAGGGTGAGAGAATTCACCAGAGCGGGGAACAGAACAGGCAGACTGACGAAATACACTGCTGAGGGGAGCAGCGGGTGGCAGGAGAGGTCTGTGCCCATGTGGGACCCTCACCCGGTGGCCGGGGATAGAACTGGTGCTGCAGAGGCTGTGGGCAGCTTTGCAACCCAGCACTCAACCGCTGTGCCACCGGGAAGGCCCATGACTGAGATTTTTTTTAAGAGATGGAATAAGCATTATTGTCTTATGAGTGTGTTATAAAAGACTGTACTAATAAAAATTCCCCATAGTCAAAGAACAAAAATTACCTGTTACCTTGACTTCTGAGAAAAGCCAACATTAGTGTCTTACATACTTTCTGGTTTTATTTGTGTAATAAATGCACTACAAAAAATTGTGGTCATGCTTTGCATTTAGTTTTACAGGTTTGGTTTGTTTGTTTGTTTTTTTACAGTGAACAGTGCATTCTGATCACCTTTGCATGTGATTAGAGTTGTAGGTCAATTTGAATTGTTGTCCATAGCTTTCTGTTTATTATATGGTACCACCACGATTGATTTCAACTTTCCTGTGGAGACAGATGGATTATCTGGTTCCTTGTCATTATAAATGATGACATGGCAACTATTCTTATACATGTTTACAGTCTCTGCTTATTTCCTTAGATTAATTCATAGAAAAGGAATGCCAGGTTCATTGACCTTGAAGGGTTTGAAAAAGTTTGAAACAGCCCTCTCATCAAGAAAAGATCTATTTCTACAAAGTTGTCTTCGAAAATTTTTTTTTTTTTTTAATGTGGCATACATCTGCTATCACATGACCCTTTAAGTTAAAACATTCCTCATCACACCAAAGGATCAGATGAGTTGTGTCGTGGGAGAAGGGCCAGGTCTTAGCAGGGATGGTGAAGCAGCAGCTCTCCACTGACCTGCGATGCTGTTTGATTCTAACCTTTTTTTTTCTTAATATTTTAAAAGGACAGGTTTATTAGGACAAGGAGAAAGAAAAAGAGAGGCACCTGCATAGTCACAGGCTGGCAGGAGAGCTGCCTGTTTGATTATGTCTGAAAGTGTTGATTTGGTAACTACACACTCAAGTATTTTATTCTTGTTAAAGGTAAAACAGTCATAAAAAATGCAGCATTATAGTTCAGTTTCAGTAGCCAGTTTATTTTCTGCATCTCCCTGTAACAAAGCAATCTAAGGCAAATATTGTTCTGTTACCTATCTTTGAATGCCAAAATGCTCTGGTAGAAATATCTGGGTTTTGTGAATGATTAAGCTGCCAATGCATAGGGCTTTCCCTTCCCTAATGCAGGTTTAATGAAAAGTTTTTACACTTCTGCTGGCACCGAGTCGCATCTGAAAGACTTTTACCATTGACATTGTTACCAATGAATGTGCTTGAATTAATTTTTTTAAAGATTTATTTATTTATGCATACAAGAGCTGGGGTACAGGCCAGTGGTGTCGGGGGTGAGACGATGCACCAGAGACAGAGTGGGGAACAAAACAGGCAGATTGACCAAAGCACACTGCTGAGGGGAGCAGTGGGCGAGTCAGGAGAGGTCTGCTGTGCCGTGTGGGTTGCTCCTTGGCTGGCCGGGAATCGAACTCATGCTGCAGTGGCTATGGATTGCCTCATAGGTTGCGTCTTAGCCCCTTGTGCCACCAGGGAGATCCTTGTATTAATTTTTGATAGTGAATTGGCACACTACATGCACTACACTTTGTGGGAATAATTCAAGTTCTTATGGGTGGACTTCTCATAAAATGTTTTGGTTCTTGTAGGTAGTAGAGATTTTTCTTTATCTTTTTTTTGCCACTATATCATGCAAAAATGGAAGCAACGTCCCTCCAAATCAACCCACCTTTAGGGTAACATGTAAACTCTGCTTTCAGCTACCATTTTTTCTTTCCTTTATTTAGTCTCTTCCTCTAAATACCTTTGATTGCATTTTGTTCTTATTGGTTCTCTATAAGAACCAATAACCTTTGATAACTTAAAACAATCTTTTTTGTTGTATTCATTTAATTTTCACCTTTAGCAAGTTTTCTGCTTAATTTAAAGTTTGAATGGCAGGAAAACAAAAGACTAACTCCATTCAATCTCAAAAGAACAGAAAATGGACAAGTGTTTTTTAAAGTTGCAACTGGAGGGAATGAGGCTGTGCATTATCACTGTGGGAACCACCATGAACTGTGAATCTGTGTGGCCCAGAGCAGTTTCTGGTAGTAAAATTGGGCTGTGACCTTACTTCATTGGCTCTTTGAAGATTAGATGAGATAATTCAGGTAAAAATTGCTGACCGCAGCATTTGACATGATAGTCAATGTTCAATGAATGTTAGTTGCTGCCACCACCAACATTAACTTACTACCCCATGTCACACTCAGCACCCTTTAGTGTTAGGAGTTAGTATCCTGTGTCTTTAGTGAGTTGGTTTGTAGACACTGGTCTCCACATTTGCATAGCTCTGGGAGCAAGTTTCACTTGGTGCTCAGTTGAAATCCAGTTCCTAATAGGTCTAGTTTCTAAAGTGTAGGAAGCAACTTCACAGGGCTCAGGAAAAGCCTTGTCAGTCCATGGGCCCTGCCCTCCCGGGCTTGTCTGCATCTCTGAACCCAGCTCATCCATAGTGCCATGCCTTCTTGGCCCTCTGCCAGCTCTTCCTGACCCTTTTGCTTAGTGTTTGTACACAAATAACACCATTGCATGGCAAACTGTGTTCTTTCCTGTGAAAGCAGAAGTAAATAAAGTCCTCCCATGTCTTTCAGGCCACAGTGTGAGTTCCTCTCCTGTTTGAGGGTACCCCACATTTTGTGTGTATTGCCAACTTTCGTGGCTGTTTGTGTGATGTCACAGTAGAAGTCATGGTGTGTCTGCCATGGACGCTTCAGGAACACCTAATGTCGCTGAGAGTTAGGTGAATGGGGAGTTTTGTTCGGGAGGTAGAATCATTGGTGGTGTCACCTTTAAATATGACACATTGGTAAGGAGCACAGGGAATCAGAACCACCTCCAAGTAGGGTTGGCTGGACTTTACCAATCAGAACTCTGTAGTTTGAAATAATTCAATTAACTTCTCTGGGCCTCAGAATTCTTGGTAAATATGAAATTGCTGTGCTAATACCTGCCCCATAGAATTGTGAGGCTTTAGGGGAGAACACAAATAGGGTTTACCACCAAGCTGGGCACACAGCTGCCTCAGTAAATGGTGATAGTGGTTGTTTGCTAAGCAATTCTGTCCCACAGACAATGTTCTTCTAAGAGGGTGTTCACAGGTGAATTTGGGCCTGGTCTCTTTTTCTTAACATTCAACTGAGCACAAATGTGAGAACCTATGCTATATACAGCACTATGCGTTGTGTACAGCACTATTGTGCTAGGTGCAAGAGACTCAGATGTTTTAGAGCAGTAAAATGTCTGCCCTATTTTTCACAGTGAGGTGAAGTCAAAAACAAAAAGTGTAAACAACCCGGTTACCCTACAGCGTGGTATATTCCACAATGGTAAATCTGTTCCTGGGGGTCACACAAGAGAGACAGACGGGGCTGAGACTACTGGACTGATGGAAGCAACACCTGTTGTACTTTTAGGTTCTACTTCTGAGTTTTCAGAGTCATTTCAAATACGATTCCTATGGAAAATTTCAAGCTGACATAAAAGCGAGAGGGCCGTGGACTACAGCCCCGCTCCTCGCCATGGAACTTCCACGGCTCCCAGCTCAGGAGCAGTCTCCTCTCGTGTGTGCCTCATTGACACTCGCTGACCCTCTGGTTTTGAAAGCTGACTCCAGACATCAAATCATTCTATTGCAAATACTTCAATAGATACTAAAAATTCTAAAATACTAGAATTCTCCCCCCAAAAAAAACATAACTGAGACAATCAGGCTCCTTTATTTGAAGCACATCATTTTTTCTTTCTTAAACCTTCATGTAATCCCAGTTTTAGGGCCCTCAGGGCACGGTGGTCATGGGCTCTGGATGTTATGGGACAAGCCTGAAGTCAGTAGGTCAGTAGCAGAAGGCAGATCATTAAAAAACAAAGGTTTGAAAACATTTGTCCTCTGAAAGGTGCAAATAAATTTATATATTAAAATTTATTTTGTGTCATGTGACCTGACTTAGTTTGGGGAAAGGGTTTATGCTTTTTAAACATCTAGATGCTTTTTAAAATGTGTTCTTCCCTCTTGAATGTAGAAAGTTGGCAGGTAGTCTCTGTGCTACCAATTTGGCACTGGGGTAATTTTTTAAAGTAAAAGCTAAAGCACAATTTAAAATTTCTACTGTTCCCTCTCAGAGGAAGATGAAAACTTGACTTGATCAAGTAGACCTTATCAGAATTGGAGACAATATGAACGAGTGTTATCAAGTCAAGTTACAGGGCAACTTTTTCTATAATGTTCGAAAACGAGTGTTTCTTCTTTTTTTCTTTCTTCCTGCTTGTCCTAAACCTTACTACTGCGGACTGATTTTTCTTAATCTTCCGTGAGCAAGAATGTTATTGAATAAAAAGTCAAATTCCTATGAAAAATGCAGAGTGTTTATGTTTTTGTTATGATAGTGGAAATACCAGATTGTGGCAGAAGATGTCAAGTAGTTAAGGCTAAAAAATTCAAAGTAATATTTGATGTTGTAAAAATTATATAGGTTTCTTTTCTCTTTCCTTCACATTTTCGAAGAACCTACCTTGTAAACATAGTGATAAAATGCCAGGAATATTAGGATTTTAAGGAAATAATAGAGCCTATTATTTAAACTACAATATAAAAGGCAATTATATTGATGAAGAGCTACATGGGCTTTGTGTATGTGAATAAACTTGGCCTGTGTTCAGCTTCTATTTGTTCTTCTGGCATAAACACATATTGTGTGTGATTCCAGTTTAATGGGGACCCGTTTGTATGCCAAGCAGCTGCATTTTAGGACCTATTGCGTGATTTCATAGCTCTCTGAAAATTGGTTCTATTCAGAACAAGAGATAGAAGAGGAGAAGGGGGTGGTGTGGGGGGGGGGAGAGCTCCAACACACAATCATTTCTTTTCAATTGGAGCCAGAAAGGTTGATGACAACATGACCATTGTGTTATAATGATAAGACCACTAAGGCATCTGTACCTCTCATCAAGGCTTTCACACAACAGCAGATACAATTTAATTCACTGCTCTGTCAGCAGTGCTGATACCATTATGCCGTCTGTCTCCACAGTTATAATCACTGTCCTCTGAGAAATGCAGTTGAAATGATCTTGAGCAGTCAAAGAAACTCTCAATTAAGGCTGCCACTTCCAATGTGTCAGATTGTGTCTTATGCACTTGGTACAATTTTCACTTCCAATCCTGTTTATTTACAATGTCTACCAGTAATTACGCTTAACGTGTCATTTAGTGAGGGGGGCTCCTGCCAAGCCGATTGTTGGGTGCTGCTGTACCATTGAGTGGGAGTTTCTCGAAGTCAATGCCATCAGCAGCTTTTAGGCCCTGATGGGATGCAGTAGTAATGTTGATAATGCAAGTATCGTGCTCATCAAGTCATAATTAGATGCCACTCAAATGTGCCACTTGTAATAACAGTGTTGATTCATGTTTTTCTCGGTGACTGCAACTACTAATTAGTTAAGTGGTTTTTGGTTGGCCTGCATTTGCTGCAGATTATTATTACCCCTGAAAAAATGTCAAGGTTAGAGATGTTTCTGGCCATTTAGTGCTGCTTTATGAATTTGAATATTAACATAATAAGAACTTTGGACAGACTTAGGAAGTAATACATTTTTGTATTTAATTTGGAGAGAATTTTTTTTCCCCTGAGTTTAATCATAATTGCAGGTTAATTAAGCTTAAATGAAGCAAAAGTAATCTCTCTTTGTGTTATGTGAGCCCAGTGCTTTTTTGCCTAACTTTGTTGGGTTTCACGTTTGGTGTCCTTTAATTTTTCTTTTTTAAGCCAGATAAATGTCAATAACTATACATGTCTAGTTAAGTTGGAGATTCTGAACATTTTCTTTAACTAGGAATCTGGGTAGAAGGAAATGGCATTTTACTTGATCTTCAAAGTATAATTGAAGTTCTAATTACCGTGTACATTTGAAATTTCAATTTCTGTAAATCAGCTATCAAAAATATCTGAAAATTACTATTTTTTGAGCATTGGTCAAATATCAAGCAAAAATTTCATTTTCTTTTCATCTTTCTTACAGTCTGTGATATAGGAGGTAATTTGTTAGAGTTTACTTAAATCATCACATAGTATATACATCTTGTTACAATACTCTTTTGCCCTAGAGTTCATTAAATCAAAACTACCTGTCACTAATAAAGGCTACTATTCCAATACTTACCTTAGTTCATTGTTATTACAATGATGAGATCAACTGAAGATTTGAGTTTTTAGAATTTCTCAAGAGCTAGTTTTTCTCTTTAGACCCATGTCATATCCTGCTAAGAAAAGGAAGCCATGTTTGGCACTTTTTCATTACAAAAGGTTCTTTTGTTTAAATTACCAGATGACTATGGTTATGTATACAACTGCACAGAAAATAGACACTTGAAATAAACCTCCTAACTACTTTTCTTAAAATGTGTTTAATAACCCTAAGTGTTCCTTATTGTGTAATTTTTTCCTTTTTACATCCAAATATTAGCTAAGATTTAATTAGGGCATCACGTTAAACACTCTTTTTCCATGACAGCTAAAGGTCTGGCTAGCTAAAGAATTGAAGTATTCTTCATCATGGGACAAGATGTGTGGGCTTTTGGAATAGCTGACTAATCTTTGAATGCTGAGACTTTTTTTCCCCCTCATTCCTAGTTTCTCACATGGTCATAGAGGAAGTTAACTTTATGCAGAACCATCTTGAAATAGAGAAGACTTGTCGAGAAAGCGCTGAAGCTTTGGCAACAAAGGTGAGACGATTCACATAAAGGGCTTTTACCTGAGCTTTTTAATTTCAACTTGCTTTTCTAAACAGTGGCTTCTAACCTTGTCTTGCTTTTGTACTTCTGTAATCAGTTGTCAGCTCTGATGATGAGGAAAGTGCTGTATAGTCTCAGAATCCTGAGATAGGATTATGTAAATATGCCTCAAAGGTTATTATGGTTATTATGATTGTAAAAGGAGCAATCATATATGTGTATTTCAGCATTTGTGCTTTTTGCCTGCAAAAAGTGGCCCCGAGTAGTCTATTGAACTGGACTTTCCAAATGTTTGTGCACTTGGTTAAAATGCAAACCAAGTTAAAATAGCCTGGTGTGACACAAAAGAGCAATGAATGTTTCATGTTGGAATCAGATGAAAAAGTCAGTCTCAAGCCTTATATTTCAGGTGATTATTTGTGAAAGCAAAGTGAGGGCATGCTAAAGGTGACCTCCTGTGTTCCGCTGATTGCTTCTAGCTGATGAATTTACCAAGTGTGTAATTTTCTATATTCTATCTCATCAGAAGTACATTATTATTAAAGAATGTTTTTATCTCTGTCTTATGTATTTTGGGTTAGGTAAAATGCATCTGAACCACTTCATCAGAAAATGGATTATAGCAATTTTCAACCAAATTTCATTAGTAATGCTGGTTGGTTGTTTCCCCTCTGCCCCATCACCTACCTCTAAGTATTTCTTTGGATGGGACTGAAATTCTACAAATCTGTCTGTCTGTCTGTCTATCTATCTATCTATCTATCTATCTATCTATCTATCTATCTATCTATCTATCTCCTATCTAATTGGTATGCATTAGCAGGGAGCTTGCTAGAGGCATTTATTTAATTGTTTGCATAATGACACTAGATTAGAATTCACATGATACTTAATCAGAGCCTAAGAATATAAATATGCAAAAGTGATTTTTCTTCTGTAATTTGAAGAATACATAGCAACACAGGCATTGCTCCAAAAATCTATCAGTGATGATATGGGTGTTCTCACATCATCTTAGAGTGGTAGAACTTGTGGGAAGCAATGTTTCCAGAGACACTGTATAGGTTTTATTCATGTTATGCCTTTCTGGGCATATATGACTCTGGACAACTTAGTTCTGTCCTCTGGACTGCCGTTGTCATTGTCTTACCTTAAATTACTGAATGGACTAGAGTTAGGGGTGAGAAGGAGACAGATATTTCTTTTTTCATGATTCACTTTAATCATTGGTCCACATACTGCCCCCTTTAAAAATTACTTTTATCCTGCCCCAATTAAAAAAATTTAACAGGTAACTTTGAGCAAGAGAGTTCATGTCTGTGAGCTGCCATTGTTTAGTCCTAAACGTCAGGGTGGAACAGGTCAATTTCCTAAGGTTGCTCCAGAACCGTTGACTCTAGAGGACAGCCTAGGCCTGTGTAGGATGAAAAAGCTGCCAGTGACTGATGTATTTACCTCTGGTGCTGAGTCACTGTGTTACCTAGTTTTTAAGGTCATTTTGACAATTTAGTCTAGGCAGTTAAGATCCTTGACTTGCACAGTTTGTTATCTATTTTAAGATGCCTTTTTGAAAGTAGACACATGATATATTTTTGAGGATGCAATACAAACTCATGCATCTTGGAATAAGACACCTAACTGCCTACCCACTCAAACATTATAGATGTCCTCATTGGGTGTGGAAGATACTTTAGTCTTGAATACAAAGTTTGGAAGGGTCACATGTTTTAATATGTGTGATCAATAAGTGATAATAGCACATCCTGACTTAGGTGTCAGTTGTCATTTTGAAAGAAGGCTCCATCTTCTCAGCAGCAAAATTTCTGTAAATTATTATTTTTCTAAACCTTGGCTTTCAAATTGATGACAAATGGATTATTTAATTCTTACCATGCAATTTGACTGCATACTTGCCTTGAATGCAAGTTTGGATACTTTGCTTTGTTGAAATGTGTAGGTGAAACTGATCAATGTAGGACAGTTATTTAAATCATATGGTTCAAATTTGTTTAACCAGCTTATTTTGAATCTTTAAATATTCACTAAGCTGTATCCAGTTGTATTTCAAATAAAATGGAAGTGTTATTTGAATATAGTAGAAAATTCTGTTACAGTAGGGTTATAAAAGATTTATTTGTTTTGCCTTATGACTTCAAAGGGCTTGAAAAAACAAGTTGCAAAACACCCTTGTATGACCTAATAATAACTGCAGTGAAATTGCTTTGTTAAGATTTATGAATTCAGAGTTCTCAAAAATGTCCAGTTAGTATGATCATAAGATCCCGTATGTAAATCTTATATATCTTCTTTTGAAATGTGAAATTGCTGTGTCAGAGAAGAATTTTGAAATTTTGTGTCAGGCATTTTTCTTGAGTTAGTAACTCTGTTAAATAGAGTAGTTGTATTACAGCCAAATAACAGCTAGTGGATTTTAGTGCCTGGTTTGACAGACCTTAACTCTTCTGAGTGTAGAACTGTTCACCATCAAGTTATTAAGTATTACTGTGATGCCATGTAATCAGGGAAATGCAAATCAAAACTACAATGAGATACCATCTTACACCAGTGAGACTGGCACATATTACAAAAACTAGCAACAACAAATGTTGGCGAGGTTGTGGAGAAAAAGGAACTCTCCTGCATTGCTTGGTGGGAGTGCAAACTGGTCCAACCACTATAGAGAGCTGTGTGGAGATTTCTTGACCTACTAAACATAGAGCTTCCATAGGATCCAGCAATTCCACTCCTAGGTATTTACCCAAAGGACACAGAAACATTAATTCCAAAGGGCACCTGCATCCCTATGTTTATGGCAGCACGATTTACAGTAGCTAAGCTATGGAAACAACCCAAATGCCCAAAAATAGATGACTGGATCAAGAAGATGTGGTCCATATACACCATGGAATATTACTGAGCATTCAAAAAAGATAAACACATGCAGTTTGCAGCAACATGGATGGAGCTGGAAGGGATCATGCTCAGCAAAATAAATCAGAAAGAAAAAGAAAAATACTGGATGGTCTCACTCATAGCAGGAATTTAGAAAACCTAAATAAGGGAACAGGAAAAAGACTAATTAATACAAAGTAAAAATCAAAATCAACAAGCAGCTATAAACCAGAGACACACTATGGGGGGGAGAGGGGGATTCAAGGAAGGATTACGGTCAAAATAAGGGGGGGTGCAATTGTATGGGGAATATAACCAAAATGAAAGTGCATTCATTGTGTAAAAATGAAAAATGATGCAAGAATTATATAAAATAAAATATTAAAAAAAAGTATTACTGCGATGGTTCCTGGAAAACAACATATTATGCTCCAGGTGGCAAAAAGTAGTACTTTCATTTTTCATGAGTATTGTGGAGAAAGAAAAAAAAAAATGCCTAGATGGATACCCAGGTCAAGAAAAACTAGCTGATTTAAGTGAATGCCAAAGGAAGATTAAACACACAAACTAAATCTCTTTTGTTACTAATAGTAGCTCAATCTAACTTTTTACTATCTGTCACTATATTCAATACTTTACTTTTTTTAAAGTAAAGTTTATTTTTTAAAAGATTTATTTATTTATGCATATAAGAGCTGGGGTACAGGCCAGAGATGCGGGGGGTGGGGAGGGTGAGAGGATTCACCAGAGACAGAGTGGGGAGCAGAACAGGCAGACTGACTGAAGTACACTGCTGAAGGGAGCAGTGGGCGAGACAGAAGAGGTCTGCTGCGCTATGTGGGTTGCTCCCTGGCCGGCCAGAGGAATCGAACTCATGTTGCAGAGGCTGCGGACAGCTTCATAGATTGCATCTTTTTTTTTTTTTAATAGGTTGCATCTTAACCCCTTGCACCACCAGGGAGGCCCTATATTGAATACTTTATATGTAATATTTCATTTTATCTTCATATTATGGCATGGAGACTATTTTTTAAATTTTATTTTATATATTTTTTACATCACTTTTCATTTTTGCACAATGTATGCATTTTCATCTTGGTTTTATTCCCCACACAATTCCCACCCCCTTATTCCCACCCTCTTTTCCCTCCCTCCCTCCCGCTCCCCCATAGTGTGTCTCTGGTTTATAGTTGTGTGTATTCTTAGTTTACTAATGATAAGAAAACTGTGACACAGAAAGATTAAGTTAGTTTTGGAAAGAACAACAGAATTTGACTGCAGAGCTGCCTTTTTAACTTTGTTTTACTGATTCTCTAGAAATGTATGTTAGGTGACTTTTAGTCACCAGGGAGTTCCGAAAAAGTACTATGCTGGGCCTCACCATCAGAGATTTTGGTCTGGTATGGGATTGAGTATTGGGATTATTTTAAAGTTCTCTAGATAGTCTAATGTACCAAGCTGAGAACCATCAGTTTAAATATTAGGAGGAAAAATTGCAGATTAATTCTTGAGTTTTTTCCTAAATTGTTATTTTCTCCTAACATTCAAAAAATATTGGAGAGTGGGAAACCTCTTGTGCTCTTGACCATGCTACTTGGAACATGTGTATAACTGGGGTGAGAATCAGATCTCCCAGTTTAATTTTTTTTTAAGATTTTTATTTTTATTTATTTTTTAAAGATTTATTTATTTTATACAAGAACTGGGAAACAGGCCAGATGCACAGGAAGGTGAGAGGATTCACCAGAGACAGAGCAGGGAACAGAACAGGCAGACTGACGAAATACAATGCTGAGGGGAGCAGCGGGTGAGACAGGAGAGGTTTGCCCTACCATGTGGGACCCTCGCCGGCTGGCTGAGATCGAACCAGCGTTGCAGAGGCTGCGGACAGCTTCATAGTGTGGCATTCAACTGCCTGCGCCACCAGGGGAGGCCCTTAAGATTTTTATTTATTTATGCATACAAGAGCTGAAATACAGGCAGAGATGCTAGGGGTGAGAGGATCCATCAGAGACAGAGTGGGGAACAGAACAGGCAGTTTGACTGAAATACACTGCTGACGGAGCAGCGGGCAAGACAGGAGAGGTCTGCTTCACCACGTGGGTTTCTCCCTGGCTGGCCAGGGATCGAACTCATGCTGCAGAGGCTGTGGATTGCTTCATAGTGCGGTGCTTAACCCCTTGTACCACCAGGGAGGCCCAAATCTCCCAGTTTAAATGTGCTGGGCTATCCCCAAAAGGAACCCCAAGGGGTTGTAATTATGATCAGAAATGAAGAACCAGAGGCAGACAAGAACCATTCTAAAGATCTTACTCTGATGTGGGGCTTATAATAGGCAAAATTAGTTACTGTCCCAATGATTTTTTTTCTACTTTTGCATATTTCAATATTAATTATTAAATTTGGTATTTGTCTTGATGGCCAGTATCCTTAATAAGGGAAATGTGTTTATCTTATATCTCATGCTAGAAAAATCAGTCTACTACATACTTCCATGGACTCAAATGAGAGAAAAACTTAATTTTTTTTAATCTTGAGAGAGAAACCACAAGCAAGTACATTTTCCTTCTGTGGACTTTGGACCAAATCTTTGTGTGTGCTTTGTTGCTAACATTTATATGCATATAAACTCCTAAACTTCAGAAGGTAATGACAGTTGAATAAAACCCAAAACAAACTCATTTCTACATCAGGGAAAATAAATAATTAGTGAATTAAGATTGTTTCTCTGCTACAAATTAAATCTCCTTTTGTTGTTAAATCTTTTTTGTTGCCTGTTATTAGAATTCTATGCTCAGAGGGTGGAAGCACATCTTCCACTAACTTAAGTCAACAAAGGAAAAAAATAGGAATTTGCTACAGAGGGATATTGGAGAAACCCATAGAATTTGTGAGCTAGGTGCATTTCCAGAATGGACTGGAAACTCTGTGGGAAACTATATTCACATTGCTTTTTTTCTGCCTCTTTCTGTTCCTCACCTCTATTTTGACTTTGCCACAGACCACTTTCCTCTATTCCCAAATTCAGTAGTAGAATATAGTTGCCAGTAGCATCTGTGCAACACATGGACAAAAAGCCATCTCTCTGTCCAACCTCCAAGTTTCAAGAAAAGAAACCTGGTTGATCAAGTTTAGGTCATATCCCTAATTTCTGGACTAATTTCTGTGGCCAAAAGGATCGGATCTGATTTGGCAGAGGAGCAGGGCTGTTCCTGCAGAAATCATGTGCCAGGGAAGTCTGACAGTGTCTAGAGGAGGAAGGCTTCTAGGCAAACAAACATTTCACAGGTGTTCCCAGCACTGCACCAGACAAAACATTCACTAGAAATTAAGTGCCTTAATTAACGCTATTAATGACTATAAATAAATTAAAATTGGATCTAATCTATACTGATATTTTATCTTAACTCTTATATTCCTCATCAGTTACAAGTAGCACTTTCCATGTGCTTTGGCTGTAATCCTGGCATCAGGTCTTACTTAAAGTTATCAGTTTAATATTAAAAAGTGTTACTAAAATCTTATTTAATGGCTCTTCTAATTGTTATTTCATGCTGTGAATGTTGAAGATGTGAGACAAAAATCCACTTAATTTGTCTATTGTTTAAAAATCTAAGATAGTCACTTGACTGCTGTTAAAATAACTGTTTTTATATTTTGCCTTAGTTAAATAAAGAAAATAAAACACTGAAAAGAATCAGCATGTTATACATGGCCAAGCTGGGACCAGATGTAATAACTGAAGAAATAAACATCGATGAAGACGATTCCGCTGTGGACCCCGAGGGTGCTGCAGAGACGTGTATCTCAGTCCATTGTCAGAAGCAAATCAAAGGTAGGTGTCCTTGCTGCACTGGTGAGCATATACTCTGCTCCCATTAGGGTAGAACTCCCCAACTGCAGTTCCACAATGGAATTATGTGAGAAATTTTCAAAATACCAATGCCTGGGTCCTGCCTTGAGAAAATTCTGAATCAGTTATCTTAGGGATTCACCTGATGTAGAATCGTGATAACATATAATGTTTGTGTTTCATGAATTGCTTTCTTACTTAGAATGAAGCACTTTGGAAAGCATTGTCTTGACAGAAATAGCCAGGTCGTTTATAAACTTTCGAAGAGTATGGACTGTGCTGAGATACTTCTGTTAAATGAAAGAAAAAAGTGAATAAAAATGAGTTCCAGCAACATCTCCATTTGGTTTTCTATTGAAATATCTGGGGAAGATTCCTTCCAAATCGCCTAGTCTCTGCCCTCAGGAACTTCTCCTGTACTACAGGCAACAAGCTTTAAGGAGGAGGCCTCATCAAACAACTGTGTTGGTCAGCGAATGATGCGCTAAGTCACCCAACACATCTTTCAAATATCCATCAATTTCATTCATGCATTAAGTGTGTATACACATGGTTCATGTTAAGGATACAGGAAAGCAGTTTTTGCCACAGTAACTTTTGGAGCATTTTAACTACGTGCTCATGTCAAAAGCAGTAGCAGATTTATTGGTAGACAAAACCTCAGTGGAAGCATAAAGAAGTCAGGGTGTTGCAGACCTACCTCATCTTTACCTGACTCCCACCCCGTCACTTAAGACAAAAATGTTTTCACATTGGTTGGGAGGGAAAGGAAGTTTAAAAGATTTCCTTTGTTCATAATTCTCCCTTTTGTGAGGCCCTTATGGTCTCTTGCTCTCCCTTTAGGATTAGTCAGCCAGTGAGGAAAGTGATTTTAAAACAAGTCTGAGAACTTCTTCAAGCTGAGTTCATGTAAAAAGTTGATTTAATTTATAAATAACCACATAGCAGGTTTCTTATTGTCCTTGGAGAAGGGTAAGAAATCAAAAGAGTTAAGAACTAGTGGTAAAGCCAGAGGCCTGGGTATAAATTTAAGTACCCCAGGCTAATCCATGCATTTTTTTTTTTTAAACATTTGAGTGGTAGAAGTAACTTTAATCAAATACCAGAAGATTTTGCACTTTTAGTGGCTAATATTTTCATTCTAGTAAAACAGTTTTCATTAAATCCTAGTAATAAGAAATATGAAAATAAATTAAGAAACAAAACACCTACAACTCTGGAGAGAAAATTACTAGAATTAACCCTTTTTCAAATAGCTTTTATTTTGAGCCAATTCAAACCATTTTTAAGGGCTATAAATTGGCAGCAAGTCAGGATTTTTTCCTTCAAATCAAAATCTCCAAATTATTAACTGCCCAATTGTTTATTTACATTGTATTGTGACAAGAGCCCATGGCCATTATAAAATAAAAAAGAAATTAGTACCATGCCTTCATTTGTTTTGCTGAGAGCTTAAAATTTTTACTTCTAAAATGGCAGGTAGTTTTGTAGAATATAGGTTTGATTGAATGCAAAGAAAACATCATCCGGTACATTTAATGTAGTGAAATTATGTGATATAAAATCATTAATAACCATGTATTTTGGCAGCCCTACAGTGAAATTTCCTTTGCCATTTGCTTCTTCATCTTCCTTTTAATTGTTAAATAACCTTGACTATAAGCTGTACATAGACCAGCATTTCATTTCTTTTGGCAAGATTGATTTTTCTTTGAAAAATAAGTTTATTTGTATTGCCCCCCTCCCATTTTCTTTAAAAATTCAGAACTTCGAGATCAAATCGTATCTGCTCAGGAAGAAAAGAAAAAATTATCCATTGAACTGGAAAATGTCAAGAGCAAACTGGTAGAAGTAACTGAAGAGGTATGTCTCTGAGGCTTGAAACACCTTTCGTGTTTTCAAGGTGTTTGGGGACTAAATTCAAAACTTACTGTTGGATGCTAATTTCAGATAAAAGAACCATGTACCAATTTTAATATCATGGACATTCATATATCCCATGTGCTCAATAAATAAAATACTAAAATAGTTTTGAAGTGTCTCCAATTGTCCCCTGTATTTACTATGTGAAGCACATTTATAAGGACAATACCTGTCATTTAAGTCCTACACTTTGGCTGCTGGTGAAGAGGGTTTCTCTTCTCCAGTGAATGGCTGGAAAGGCTCGCCCCACCCACCTCCAACACAGGCCTGTGTGATAGAGGGTAGAATGGGTTCCAATGGGTATTTGGAGATTTTTGCTTTTTCCCTTGAATTGTCTTTATAAACGCCAGGATGTAATTGCCTTTCTTTTCTGGAGGCTTCAATGATCTGCCTTTGCCATCTAGGTTTAGCCTGTGTCAGTGGCTCTCAGATTCTGTAGTTGAAAGAGCTTCCCTACCTAGGTGCTCTGGCACCTGGAGCTCCCTCCAGATGACTGCAGTCCTGCCTGCACTTTGGTCTCTTCAGCGAACAGCCTCACTCCATTGCCTCAGTTCCCATAGGCAAGATGACCATGTTCTGGGGTCCATCTGTGAGAAAGACTGAGAAATGTGCCTGCAACCCCCCAACCTCTGTTGCTTTGAAATGCTGTGGCCAAACATAATGAATGGGAAGAAGTGTGACGATATTTTGCAAGTCACATTTGCATAGTGTTCACCAGTTCTCAGCAAACCCCACAAAGCCAAAATAGAGCTTATACTAAAATGCATTTGCAGGCTGGTCTGGAAGTGCTGATGGACTCAGAGTCCCTTTCAGGACCCTTGTCTAGTCTGTTTCTTAAGTGAAACCATAATAGAGACAAGAAGCACACTTTGATGAGTTACTTTCCTTAATTATGATTGTTTATTGATGATTCTAGGTCCCTTCACATTTAGTGGTGTTCCTGGAAGCTATTTCAGAAGTTATTTTTATTATCACTCTTTCAGACAACTGTAAAGTATAGTAAAAGTACTGAAGTACTACCTAGCTTGCTAGATAAAACATTAACATGGTGTTGGAAACCCTGGCGCGTCTCTCCCTAATTATATTCTCTCCATGCCTGTCTCTGTTGCCCTAAACAACCTTTACTCCCAGCTTGGTTTTTATCATTCCAGTGTATTTTTACTTTTACTACGGTATATGGCATTTTGAGTTTTTAAAAACTATGTAAATGTCCGCTTTTTAAATTCAGTGTAGTTCATTTGAGAGTTAACCGTATGTGAGGCTTTTGCTTGTATTTTAACTGTCCTGTGATATGCTCATCTCTTATTGAAAGCTTCATGCCAAAAGTATTTCATGCCAAAATTTAAGTTTTGGGGGAAGATTTTCATGTGTATTTTATTCAAGTCAGAAGTCATCAAAGTTCAAAGTATTTTTTATTTAAGAAATTCATGGATACTTAGGCCAAATTTACCAAAGTTTACAATGATTGTCAAAATTGAGTAATGTACCTCTGGCTTAATGATTCATATGTAAGGTACTTTGTCATTGGATTTTTGCACTAAAAATCTAGTCATTGGATAATTAGAATAAAGCCATGATTAAGTACCAATGCCAATGCCATTTGGAATATGAAGATGTACCTTTGAAGGCTTTAAGGAGAATTTGCATAACATAGTGAAGCCAATTATTGCTTTAAATTATAGCTTCATGTTGAAAGTTGAATTATAATTTGAGTATCACACATAACCATGTGTCATGTTTTATAACGGGGTGCTTTCTTCCCCCAAATGTCACTTTTTTAGGTAAATAAAGTTAAACAAGAAAAAGCTGCTTTAAATTCAGAAGTTCTCGAACAGAGAAAAGTCCTAGAAAAATGCAATAGAGGTATGTGTTTCTAGTCTTTTTCTCAAATAACATGCATAATTTATTTGTTTGCACTTATTTTGTGTTGATTTATACCTGCCCCTAGAGATTCCTCTAACAACAATCTCACCCCGTCTTGTGTTTTCCTAACTTCTAGCCTTGAGTATTTCTCATTTCTATTGTTTTATCACCCATCTTTGAGTCTGGGGAAATTTAAAAGTGTTTTCACTTGAGAAATCATGATCCACTTATTTTGAAACTTCACAACTCAATGCGAATCTGTCCTCCATATATCCTGGAACCATGGACATACTGGTTATCCTCTCAATATTTGTATATTTAGCAACTTATTTAGTAAACCTCACTTCAGTGCAGAAGAGGTTAGAGTATCTACATAAATACCCACAAGGTTCGATGATAAAATTTTACAGGGGAGGAATGGAGATTGAGAGTGGAGATTTATACACAAAGTGCATGTTTGCTCTGAGGCCTCGAATGTTTCTTCCTCTTTGTCTGAAATCTGGCTCTGAGCTACCTTGGAACCACTGTCATGAGAGTTTCGTCATCATGTCTATGAATCACATATGAACAAATGTACTCATCAGGAGAAGCAGTTCGGGTCTCCTGGTGAGAAGGACATTTCTCTAGTGCCTAAGTTTAGAGAAAACTCTGTAATGTGATCTTCTCCCTGTTGTAAAACACAGTGTCAGAGCTCACATGGCTGGCTGTGTCCCCTGCTTAGGACAAGGTGGCCATGCCGATATGTAGTTCTTGCAAGTGCAGTTCTAAGGGAGGGGACTTACTATGGTTTTTATTTTCCTTTTCCCCCCTCAGCTACTTTCTGTTGTAGTCCCAGAAGGTAGAACAGGTAAAGGAAATCTTTCAGACCAAGGGTCTTCCCTTTTGTTATGGGTGGTAGCTCTCTACCTTCTTCTGATTTGTAAATTTAGAATTTTTTAAAATAAAAGACCTTGTAGTTAAGTGTGGGAGATGCCCCAGATGGTGACATTTCCTCAGTTCTTTCTTCATTTAAGATGATAGAAACGATATAGCAGAATCTTCAGTCTTGATGTCCTATGCTATAAACAGGGTTCTGCAAAGTCTATCACGTGGGTCTTGCCTTCAGAGAGCCCCCTATCTAGGAAGAGAGAGATTATATAAATTCATACAGTACTAGACCAACCGATTCCTTGCAGAATCCAGGTGAAAGGGGCCAGGACATGTGAAAATTCACTTTTTATTATAGTGTTCTGGACATAGAAATGAGAGTCACTTATCTTGCCCAGGGCTTTAGATAGTCATAGTTGTCTTTGTTTTCTTCATAAACTTTCATTCTAAATAGTTTGAAAATCATTTAGCTCCCAGGGACCTATAATTCACGCCACAAACCACCACTTATATTGCTTTACTTGAGTAAGACTTTTAGTGTTTCCTCGGAGGAGGCAGTAGATTTACAGAGTACAGAGTTTGAAATTCTATGTCATTACACAGCAAACCAGTCCTTAGTCAGTTAGGACTGAAGTGCCCTGGTGGAACATTGTGTGAAAGCAGCCATTAAGAGGGCCTTTTTAAAGATTTTATTGATATGACTAAGCTTAGATTTGAAAGAGCTTCCTCCGAAGCAGGTGGAGAAACCGGTGTGACATCGCCCCATCTGTGTTGTGCCTGGTCTGTAACGGCCTGATCGCGCCTCCATCCTTTCTGTATCATTATGAACAAAATAGGCCGCAAAATGCCTAAAACTCATAAATAATTGTGTTACTCTTATTTGACAAGGACCTTCCGTTTGAAGATTTCTGTCCCGGGTTATTCTTTAATACAAAGCTCTGACTCTAGGCTTCTTTCTCTTCTTTCTAAACATGGACAACATTAAAGATATCTATCTCTGTGTCTCTATCTACTATATAGGTATTTATTTATTCAGGTAACATGCTTTATTGGCAGAAAGTTGAGATTTATATAGAAAAAGGAGGGAAAATCTCAAACTTCATAATTCAGAGATAAGCACCATTAACATTTTAGTGTGTGATTTTTTTAATCTTAAAAATAACCCTACATTGGGCCTCCCTGGTGGCACAGCGGTTGAGCGCTGGGTTGCGAAGCTGCCCACAGCCTCTGCAGTGCTGGTTCGATTCCCGGCTGCTGCCCGGCCACCGGAGGAGGGTCCCACATGGCGCGCAGACCTCTCCTGCCGCCCGCTGCTCCCCTCAGCAGTGTACTTTGGTCCTTCTGCCTGCTCTGCTCCCCACTTTGGCTCTGGTGAATTCTCTCACCCTCCCGCGCTTCTGACTGTATTCAGTGCTTGTATAAATAAATCTTTTAAAAAAAAAATTCAATGTGATAAAAAATTAGAAAAAAAATAACCCTACATTGCATTAAATTGGGTCAAATATGTTTATAATATATATGGAAGACAAACACAATGTGAGCAAAAGAAATATCTCTTTACCCACGGTATTTTGTAAGCCCCTGGACATCCCTCTCTACTTGTTATCTCTCCCTTGGATTTTTATCATTTCTTTTATTTAGTTTTGCCAAGTACATATGTATCCCTAAGCAGACAACAGTTTAACATTGGGCAGGTTTTGAAGTTTCATATAAATGGTGTCATTTTTAATATGTTCTGCTACTTTTTGTGTTTGTGAGGCCTTCCCTGTTGGAGAGCATAGCTTCCTTTTCACTTCTGTAGACTATTGCATTCACTGTATGTATCGAAATTCACTCACCCAGTATTCTGCTGGTGGACTTGGAGATTTTTCCAATTTTTTGCTATTCCAAGTCATGCTGTTATGAAAATTCTTATACTTGTTCCCTGATACACGTGTCTAAGATTTTCACTAAGATATGCCCAATGTAAAATTTTATATTCAATTTCACTAGAAAATGCCAGCTTACTTTTTTAATAGACCTAAAAGTTTTATACTCCTGTTAGCATTAGTTCACATTGTTCTGTATTCTCTCTAAACTTGATAGAGCCATACTCTTTAGATTTTGCTAGTTATCTCTTTGGTGAGTAGATATGTATGTTTTTACTTTCCACTACCCTGATTACTAATGAAGATGGATACTTTCCATGTGTTTCCTGGCCTTTCACCTGTTTCCTCTTCTATGAGATGCCTTGTTGATATGTTTTGTATGTAAATTTAAAAACAAGACTAAATTAGTTTTTAATAAATTATCAAGTCTGCCTTTCCATTACGTAGTCTCCCACAATATAATTTTGATGGAAGATTTTTTTTAAAGATTTATTTATTTATACAAGCACTGGGTACAGTCAGAAACGTGGGAGGGTGAGAGAATTCACCAGAGCCAGAGTGGGGAGCAGAACAGACAGACTGATGAAGTACACTGCTGACGAGAGCAGCGGGCACAGCAGGAGAGGTTTGCGCGCCATGTGGGACCCTCGCCTGCAGCCGGGGATTGAACCGGCGCTGCAGAGGCTGTGGGCAGCTTTGGGAGGCCCTTGATGGAAGATTATTATTTTTGGAACATACCATACTTTACTGGTCCTTCAGTGTTAGACAATCTAGATTGTTTTATTGTTTCAGCAGTGATACAGAGGGCATCCTTGCAGCCAAATCTGTGTCCGCTCATGGTTTATTCTCTTAGGACACACATTCCTAGAAGTTGAATTGTTCAGTCAATGGGCATCAGTAGTTTTAGATTTTTGATGCATATTGCCATGTTGCCTTTAAAAAAGGTTTCAATCACAGGAATATAGGGAAACCAAATAAGACATCAGTTTAAAAAAATAATAACTGTACAAAACACAACAAAGCGAAAATGGACAATTATAAATCAGAGACATCCTGCAGGGGAGGAAGAGGGACAGGGATCAGAGGGAGGGATGGAGGAGCACAGGGGACTGAGGTGATGGTGCACAGGTGCATTGTGCATTGGTGAAGGAAACTATGGGGACTATACCTGAGGGGGTGGGGGGAAGCAAATATTGTTTAAAAATGAACAATGATGTAAAATAAATAAATAAAAATTTCAAAAAGGTTTCAATCAATTTACAGTATTCAGCAATAGAGAAGGTTGCTTGCATGCATATATAAGTAATCTTTTCAACACTATTTCTCATCCAAATTTCCTGATAATCTGCATGGTATATGGTCAGTTTTCTTTTCCTTGTCTCCCTAAGTGTCCATGTTAGCGGTAGAAGAATACGAGGAAATGCAAGTAAACTTGGAGCTGGAGAAGGACCTTCGGAAAAAGGCAGAGTCATTTGCACAAGAGGTGAGTATTTGGCAACTACCTCATTTTTTTTTTAAATAATTAAAAAAAATTTATTTAAATTTAAAAAAATTTTAAAGAATTATTTTGTATAATTCTTACATCATTTTTCATTTTTTCATAATGTATGCATTTTCATTTTGGTTATATTCCCTATATAATTCCCACCCCCTTTTTCTGACCCTATTCCCTCTTCTCCTCCCCCCGCCCTCACTGTAGTGTGTCTCTGGTCTATAGTTGCTTGTTGATTTTGATTTTTACTTTATTGCAATTAGTCTTTTTCCTGGAAAGACCTTATTATTTTTTTTTTTTTGGAGAACTTTGCAACTGACATATCAAAATATATTTTGATGCCCAAAAATAGATGACTGGATCAAGAAGATGTGGTACATATACACCATGGAATATTACTCAGCATTCAAAAAAGATAAACACATGCAATTTGCAGCAACATGGATGGCACTGGAAGGGATCATGCTCAGCGAAATAAGCCAGAAAGAAAAACAAAAATACCGGATGGTCTCACTCATAGCAGGAATCTAGAAAACCTAAATAAGGGACCAGGAAAATGAATAACTATAGGAAAGTGAAAATCAAAATCAACAAAAAACTATGAACCAGAGACACTCGATGGGGAGTGGGGGGCGGGGAGGGGAGGGATTGGGGTCAAAATAAGGGGATTGTAATTGTATGGGGAATATAAAAATAAAATTTATTTAAAAAATATATATATATTTTGAAGTTGAGTAAGAACAGATCTCTTTGAATTGAGGATCAGCTAATTTAAGTAGGTAGCTATGGGATAATACCAAGTTCATTGTACTTGGTGTCAGAAGATCTGGGTTTAGATTTTTGCCAGAGCAAGCAGTTACCTGTTGTGTAACCGTAGAGCAAATCCCTTAACCTCTTAGGGCTTCCCTTTTACCAGCTGTAAAATGGGTGAGGACATCAACCTAACCAAGTAGATTTTAAAATCAAATGCCACATTATTGTTGGTATTTTTTAATATTTTATTTTATATAATCCTTACATCATTTTTCATTTTTGCACAATGTATGCATTTTCATTTTGGTTATAGTCCCCATATAATACCCACACCCCTTATTTTGGCCCTAATCCTTCCTCTCTTCCCCCTCCCCCCACCCCGTTAGTGTGTCTCTGGTTTATGGTTGCTTGTTGATTTTGATTTTTTTCTTTATTATAATTAGTCTTTTTCCTGGTCCCTTATTTAGGTTTTCTAAATTCCTGCTATGAGTGAGACCATCCGGTATTTTTTCTTTTTCTTTCTGGCTTAACTTCGCTGAGCATGATCCCTTCCAGCTCCATCCATGTTGCTGCAAATTGCATAATGTAATCCAATGCTACCTCCATGTAAAGATTTAATTAACTAACTAAAAAGAAGAAAAATGAGTAAGAATTAAAAAAAGAAAGAAAAATGAAAATACTGCTCTGAAAAGATAAATGCAGCTCTCCATATTCATTATAGCATTATTTACATTGTTTACAAGGGAAACAACCTAAGTGAGTGTGTGTGTATAGTGTGTGTGTCTATACATGCATATAATGGATTATATGCATTATTCAGCCATTAAAAAGAATGAAATCTTGAAAAAAAACCTCAAATGCCACAAGTATTTAAAAGCATGTGGTAAACACAGTGCCATCCAGGGGGATGGACCTACATTTAGGGATAACCGTAGCATGTAAGGAAAGTCCATCTGGAGTACAGGATTTCCGTACATTCCAAATAGCCAAAGAGCCAGGTTATGTGTCCATGCGCCATCTCAGATAGCAGCATCATGGTGTTAGTGTTTCTCTGCAGCTACTCGACAGTGTCCTCATGGTGTGGGCTGACTCTCCCCTGCTGGGGGACCCTGCATGCCCATTGTCTCAGTCTGTCACCACAGTAATGATGTCCCTCTCGTGTTAGAGATAAACTCTGAGCTTCTCATGTTCCCGCCTGCCTTTGTTGACCCATAGTCCTTGGGTATTTCAAGGCTCTGGGATTGGATTCCAGGGAAATGATGGGGGCCAGTTGGCTGGACCGTAGTAGCTCAGGATGTGGAAATGCTCTGCTTGACATTCCATCTCGTATAAAGGTTCTGAGTCTGTGTGCACCGGAGGTTGAAGGAGAGGAGCGAAGGAAATGTAAAACATTCTTAGGTGGGGGTATATAAGACACAGAACACAAAGGAGGGGGTTATGGAAATGACATTTGAAAATAAGATTATGGTTTTGTGCAGTTTTTCTGTATTGAATGTAACTGTGCTAGCAGTGAACTCTCTCAAAGGTTTAGCCCAAGAAGATATGATAGGAAATATTATGATTCATTTTTTTCCCCCAGGGGCTTAATGAAAGGTGAGTAAATATTGTTCTCTTATACTTGGAAGAAAGTAAAAGGAATCAAAGTGTGACAAAGGTCCTTGGAAAAAGCTACCGCAATATAAATAATGGAACGAAATAAACAGTTGACGGGACGTGAGAGTAGAGATAATGTGATGATGCCTCCACTGCAGAATGAAAAGGTTTGCTGATTTTGACCCAAATACCAGGATCTTATTTTGAGAGACATTTTCAATTTTCCATTTGTTTGTACAATGTTAGAATACAGAGCTGCTCAGAGTAAAACTTGAAGGTCATGTATTAGCAGACAAGACAGATGGAAAAGAAGCAAGATTTCACTAAGAATATGAAAAGGAATGATTTCTTTGCCACTCGCCTGGTAGTGATTGTGGAGACAAGGATGCTGAATTTCACCCGGAATGAGGAGATGGAATTTTGAGGAGGCTGAGTAGAGCAGTGGCACTTGTGTTACAGATCATGTAGAAATTTACAGCGGTGTTCATTTTATGTCATCTGGATTCTAGCTCAACAACCGTGAGAAGAAAATTATTTTTTTAAAAATAAGGTTAGGTAGGAGCCAGCCCATCTTCCCTCTTGCATAGCTTACAATTTCTCAGGTTTCAACAGATAATAACTATTACGAAAAGGTACTTTGTTTCACAAACCCTTGCATTTTGTTCCTTAGTACATTAAACATGAAAGCAGACACTGTGCTGACAATGGAACTATAGAAATAATTTTTATATTGGATGGACGATATATCTCTGTATCACATATTGAATATATGCAGTCAGTGTATAAGTATTGCAATATTTGTATTTTGTCTGCTAATACATGACCTTCAAGTTTTACTCTGAGCAGCTCTGTGTTCTCTCCTCGTTGTACAAACAAATGGAAAATTGAAAATGCCTCTCAAAATAAGATGCTGGTATTGAGATCAACATCAGCAAACCTTTTGAAATCAGCTTTTGAAGTTAATTTTCTTTATATTCTTAATTGTAAAAGGAGTCTATATATCTTGGGAAAATTACAAATAATTCTCAAGAGTGGAAAGTAAAAATAGAAAGTTTCTCCCTTATCCTTACTCCCAGTTGTCCACTTCAAAACAAAAGTAGGGTCCTCTCATCAAGGAGTCGGTCGTCTTCATAACTCAGTTACATTTTTGTATGTCTTTGACATGATTTTAATTTTTAAAGGCTTTCATGGACTTTCCCTTGCTAGTCAGTGTAGCTTTTCTTTTCATTTTTCTTAAGGTATGGAGACTTTATTCAACAGGTTGTCCTAACCTGCTGTGAGACCATTAAGCCATCGATTATTCTTTCTTTCAGTAACTCAGATGAGATGTTAATGTTATATTGAGTAGCAAAGAAAAGGTTTGAAATTATAGATTAATGACATTAAAAAGGTATAAAATTATTAAAAACTAAATTATAAATCATATATTAGTTACATATAATACATATTATATATTAATGATTTCTTAATGAAATGCTCAATAAATTTTGTGTATCTTGTCCCTTTTCCTCTTTACACTCCTAATGTTAACTGCTTTCATCAGTGGGAAATAAATTAATTGGTTTAAAACAAAGTATCTGGTTGAGTAAATAGCAGAGGAGATTAGCCAGGTGATTTAGAACTTGAGCTTATACATCAGACAGGCCTTGGTTTAAATTCTGATTTGCCACTTACATTTGTCCTTGGCAAAAGTTGTCTGGGAACTTGATCCTTGGGAAACTGAGCCTCAGTTACTTCACTGGAAAAAAGGGATAATAGTATCTGTGTGATAGTGTTGTTGTAAGGTTTAGGTGATAAAATGTATGTGAAATGATTAGCACCTTACCCATAATACAGTTTTTAGTAAATTTTAGCTAATGAACACAGATGCATTTAATTCATGGGATTGATGTAAGGATCAAAATAATGCATATAAAACACTTAGTAGAGGACCTGGTGTAGTAAGTTCCTGATAATTATTAGCTACTACTATTAGTAATAACAATATATTTTAAAGAAATAATAAAGACTGAGGCATAGGGCTAAATTATTGTATAAACTGCATCTTGTTTTGATACAAGGGTAGAAGTACTGAAGTTGTATAAAAGTTATATATGAAACCGTAGCAACCACTACCTCTAAAACTGTGGCACAGCTCAGAAATTGCTATTTTTGATAAAAAACGTCACTTCCTTTGCACAAGTAGCCTTTGAGGAGGGGTGTGAGACTGACGATGTCTGCACATCTTTGTCATTAACTTCTGCAGATGTTCATTGAACAAAACAAGCTAAAGAGACAAAGCCACCTGCTGCTCCAGAGCTCTGCTCCGGACCAGCAGCTTTTGAAAGCTTTAAATGAAAACGCAAAACTCACCCAGCTCCTTGAAGAAGAGAGAATTCAGCATCAACAAAAGGTAACAGATTTTCTACTGAAGTCTTAACACACACACACACACACACACACACACTAACAGGAGTATGTCCACTCACTTACATTCCATATTTTGCCTTGTTAAATTACTAAATCCTTCCAGTCCCTTTTGGAAAAAAGAGCTACCAATTGACCTTAGTTTAGACCCAGCTAAAATTCATAGTGCCCTGTTGTAGACTTCACAATGATCTTTTATTTTTAAAAAAGAGTTATTTATTTATGCATATAAGAGCTGGGGTACAGGCCAGAGATGTGGTGGGTGAGAGGATTCACCAGAGACAGAGTGGGGAACAGAACAGGCAGACTGACTGAAATACACTGCTGAGGGGAGCAGCAGGTGAGACAGGAGAGGTCTGCTGCACCATGTGGGTAGCTCCCTGGCCGGCCAGGGATCGAACTTGTGCTGCAGAGGCTGCAGATTGCTTCATAGTGTGGTGCTTAACCCCTTGCGCCACCAGGGAGGCCCTTCACAATGATCTTTAAACTGTCCAAAGGGTCAGAAAGAGCAAGGGAAAGAAATACAAACTTGGATAATGCATAATCTGGAAATGTGTGAGTTGTGTATTTTGGAGTTTGCATGTACTAGGAGAGTATTAGTTTGGTTTCCAAAGAGCTCCTGGGAGGGGTTAGGTTTTATTCAAGGGGGGCAGGGGCGGGGGACGTCCATGCTAGTAGTAATTGTTTGGAGAAAATTTCTGATTTTGTAAACTTGCACAAAGGTATATATTTAAAGACTTCCTAAGTGGTTATTTTAGTTTGTTTGAGTGGAGCTATTCCAGCTGACACAACCTACAGGCAGAGAGGATAGTCGTGGTGGTAGGTGAGAAAGAGGAGGCGGGAGAGGAGGGGAAATGAGGAGGTGGAACAAAGACTTTCATATTTAAGAAACCACTTAAGAAAAATTGCATCAATATTTACACTACTTACAGTGTACCTCATTGGTGAAGGAAAGGCTGTTAGCCACTATTTGTTATCACCTGTCAAAGTCTCTTTAGGAAACAATATTGACATTAAATTCTTGAAAGTTTCTGAACTTTTTACAAAGTTTGATTATAAAGTAGAGTTGATTTTTTTCCTCAGTAAGAGATGTTGGTGTATATGCAGAGAAGCTCTAGATAGTGGGTGGTACGGTGGATGCCCCTAGGAAAGAAGAAGGATTTCCTCTTTTTTTTTTGGTCACCATATGCAAGAATCATGTTTTTGTGTAAAAAGAAAATAGGAGAATGTGCATTTTTACTTTGCCAATGCTAGAATTTTTTTTTAAATCTGAAAAGTTCTACTTGCAGTCAACTCATGGAATAAATAATACATACCAAGAAACTCTTGACTGGAGGGATGGGACTAAATTGTGGTCTATATACCATTTTGGAGTAAGGGGAGAGATACTGTTATCAATGAAGTCATAGCTATCAATACTACAACTGTACTATGATGGTTATTCCGCATGATACTTCATCTACATGTTTCCAGTACTCTTAGCTGTCTCTCAGTTCCTTTGCAGATTCAGCAATCTTTAAACACAATTATATTATTTCTACAATTATAAAAATAATGCATTCCTTATGAAAACAATATAAAAATTATAGAAGAAATGAAGAAAAATAAGATTGTCCAAGAATCCCTATTTTGGTGCATCCCCAAAGTATATCATTTTATGAATCTATTTGTTTAAATGGAATCAAACTGTGCATTACTGTTCTGCAAACCTGATTTTTTTTCCTTTTGGTAGTATCTGTCTTCTCATGCAGTGTGTAGTGACCTGTGTGATCTTAAATGGTTGTGTAGGATTTCATTTAGGGAAGTTGCATAATTTCTTAAATCAATTATATTGGTGGACATCTAGGTTGTTTCCAATCTTTCAGTTACAAAGAATAATTTAGTGAAAATATTAGAACACTCACCTTACTATCTCTTTAAAACAAATTATAAATGTGGGCCTATTGAATCAAAGGGTCTTTCCTCTTTTCTTCTTTAATATTTTTTAAGGTTTTTGATACTTATTATCAACATGTCCCCCCAGGGGTCTTTTTAATGTTACCTAAATTTTCCCCTTGAAAATGGGTACAAAATAATTAATCTGTTTTAAAAGAATTATTAAAAATTAAATTGCTTGAAACATGAGTCTGCAGTAAAATGATATTGAATCAAATAACCGATAATGATTTTAAGTATTGTCAATATCCTGGAAATTAAGGGGTTTTTCAATGAATTGGAATCTCTTTGCTATGAAACAAGAAGTAAAAGGGAAGCATTAATTTTTTCCTTTATTTTCTTTTTTAAATTTTTCTTTTTTTAATTTTATATATTTTATAGAATTTTTCATTTTTGCACAATGTATGCATTTTCATCTTGGTTACAGAGGGAAAACTCTATCCTCCCATAAAACTTTGTTTAAAATTTACAGGTCAAAGAATTAGAAGGGCAACTAGAAAATGAAACACTCAACAAAGAGATACACAACCTCAAACAGCAACTGGAGCTTCTAGAAGAAGATAAAAAAGAATTGGAATCGAAGTATCAGAACTCTGAGGAAAAAGCCAGAAATTTAAAGCATTCTGGTAAGGACACCAAGGAGGCTACTATGTCTTCTTATGAGTCTGTGGATCTCCCAGGCTCAGTACAACACCTGGTATGTCACAGCCCAGAGCATGTACTAGGTGCTGTGGGACAACACCAAGATTTGTTTTTAAGTTCTGTCAGTTCTCACTATTGCTTTATTGAAATGATCTCTGTAACCGAACGAGTCACAATATTTAGACTACTGTTCTGGGCTCAGATTCTTTGTGAGGGTCACCTACAGAATTAAGAGAAAAGATACCATGAAGATTGGGGAGACCAACATGTTCAGGATTGTCAGCACCTCAGAGATGAATGTCCATTAAGTCACTACTTTGTTCATTTTAGGTTTTTAAAAAGAATTAAACTTTCTGGGCTCATACTACCTTCATCTTTGGTACCTAATTATACACATGAAATAATACTTCCAGTACTACACAATAAAATGGGCAACAATATAGATATTAAATGGAAAAACTTTTAAAACTCCAGGGAATGTTTAAATCAAAGGATTTATTCATTCAGTCCTAGAAGGCGGAACAGGAGAGTGTGTGTTGCATGACTACATGGGGATAAGTAATAAGTTTCTGCGGGAAGGTGGGTAATTTAAGGAGGCAGGTCATTTCCTTTATAACAGCTTCAGTATTCACTTCAGATATTTTTGGTTAATATTATACTAGAATTTTGAAATCCGTACAGAAAAACCAAGTAGGCTTTTTTCCTTTACAAAATATTCAATGCCTTCTAATCCACAATGAAAAAGTATTATAATTTACTTTTTAAAGATTGAGTGAAAATTAAGAAATATTCCATACTTTTTAGTGATTTCACGGCAGCCTGTTGCCAGAACTACTGCCCTCACAAATAGAGGGCATACCCTGGAGAGATTTGAGGGTCAGTGTTGAACTATTTTATTTAGGATCTGCTGTGTCCGAGCCTACCCTCAGATACTGTAAGAAATGCAAAAGAAAAGAAGCCCTACCTTTTGTCCTTGAGGAACTCAAATTCCCTTTGGAGAGACAGACGTGTGAAGATGAACTAACTGGAGGGTTCTCAGTGATGGAAAGCACAACCCACACCATTTCTTGCGGGGTGGCGGGTAGAAACAAATGGAAAGATGCCTGGGGTACAGTCTCGGGAAGCGGAAGGCTGCAGAGAGCGGGAGCTGTTCCTCCCTGCAAGCAGCGCTTGCTGGTGGGGCCCAGACCTGGGGTTTCACACCTATGACACATGTGAAACCCCTAAAGATGGACTCCCTGAAGTCAGGTGCTCTGTCTGGAAGAGCACCAAGCATGGGCCCTTTATCATATTGGCACTTAGTGCTTACCTGGTCATTAATGACTTGAATGAATTGAATGAGTAAATTATATTTCTAGAATGTTCTTCAAAAGAGCAAAGCATTTCCGAGTTACAGGCATTTGAGAGTGAGTCTGGTTAAAATCAAGAACTCCAGTATTTGCAGTTCTTGAAAGAAACTAAGTGGAGGAGGAAAGTATGCTATTAAAATTCTTTGCTAAATGTCATCTTTAAAATTAATTCTTGGCCTATAACTTTCAAAGTCAAGTATTAACAATTTCTTAGTGTTTGAGTAGTATATTCTATTGTTAACAAGCATTTCTTCAACCTACTCACATCCTTACTCCCCATCATCCAGCCACTGTCTTGAATTTTTTCCCCTCTTTTCTGTAGTTGTGTGTACAGCAACAAGATGGTACAGAAGGCCTCTTTTACGCTAGTAAAAGCAACGTACAGAAGGCCTCTTTTACGCTAGTGATAGTAGCCTGAATGATCAAAAGTTAAAGAAGTTTTGCGTTTGGTGTTGAAATTTTTGACTTTGTCTTAATAAAAAGAACTTGATCTTGAGAGAGGTTGTGTTTTGTTCCATTACAAGTGCAAATGTGTTAATTTGCTTGTTTTCATTCTTTTCTGAATGCTTGTTCTCTGTGCAGTGGATGAACTCCAGAAACGGGTGAACCAGTCTGAGAATTCAGTTCCTCCACCACCACCTCCTCCACCACCACTCCCCCCTCCACCTCCCAACCCTATCAGGTACGCACAGCAGGACCGCTGGGCATCAGGTACACCCCTTGTCCGACAGCCGACCATTTGTGACAGTGGCTTCTTTTTCTGTTTGTTCTTTAAATGGTTGAGATTGCGTCAGCAGAGGGGAGGTAAAAAGTACGGAAGATATCAGCTAGTATTTTCTTAGTGAGTTTTCTAAAGACCAGTGTTTCATTGCCTTTTTCCCATGTAGATAGAGAAGAGGCCTTACCAGCTGGCAGGGACATGTTTGTGACCCATGGTATTCTGTTGTAGTTGTTCGGATCCTGGGTGGATGTGCCAAACCCAGGAGCTAGATGTGCTTTTATTTTTTGATATGACAGTTTTAAATTTCACTTCATAACATCAGGATTTGCTTTAACTAAGACTATTTTGAATTTGGAAAAAAAACTCTGGTTTAGTTATTTGAAAAATAAAAGCACCAAACTCAAACTTATCAGTACTAGTTATTATAAACTGATAATTGAAGTAAAAGTACACATTATATTTATCCCTAGCCTCGTTATTAAGCCTTTGATAATGCCAATAGGGAAACCTTCCATAAGAATAAGAAGTTATGTTTAAATTCTTGCTATAGGAAATCATATATGCAGACGGACTCACGATTCTGGACGTGAAGGTGACTTGTTGGTATTGAGCACTTGCCTTTAGCACAGTGCACCCTTGGACACAGAGAGTCAAGTTTTGTCTTCTTTGTTTGTGGTTTTTCATCCCACAATTCAGAATATGAGAGACAATTTACTTGAAATGGTGACATCTTACCCCCTCATGTCATGACATTAGCTGTTTCTTTGTCATTTATTCTTGAACAAATGGCCTGTAAAATTTTGCTAGATTTCTATTTTTCATTAACTCATGTTATTTGTTTAATCCTTTCACACAGAGAAGCCATTATTCATACTTTACACCTTTGCTGATCCATCCAAATAGGATGCATAGCATGTTCCTCCCACACAATGCTGAAAATGGAACTTTGCCTTTTAAAAAGATTCTCATTAGTTTTCCTTACTGAGCAGGGTAAGGAATAATCTACTTTAAGCCATTGAAGTAGTTAAGGCAAAATAATTTTTACACGTGATCGATCTAAGAGTCAATTGAAAGAATTTCAGGTATTTTAAATTCTTTCTCTCCTGGGTAGCTAAATCTGTAGGAGATATTCTGAATTTGACATTTAAAATAGGCAATTCATTACTTTGATCTTTCTTTAAGGTCTAGAATTTTGAGCTGATAGGAAAGGTCACTGCCATCTATGAGGAGGGAGAACTATTAGAGAGTGATTAGAATCTTGCTGTTAGTGAGAAATCTTGAGAGCTCCTGGGATTAAAAATAAAGTATAACCTAAATAGAATATTTTCCCAAGAACACTTTACAGTTATATTGAGAAATGAAAGCAGGATTCAGACTATGTATGTCTAAGCCATGAACACTTTTATGAGTCCAAAGAAAATTTTCATCGAGTAATATCAATGATTTTAAGATGAATTAAATAGCATGAGACATAATTTCTTATTTCTAATTTTTTTTTGGTAAGTACTTTCTTGTTAAAGACTTATATTTGAGTATGTGTTGCATTTCAGTGGATTTTGAATCCAACTAATTAGGATTTTCTAAGATACTTGTTTTACCCGAATGTAGATCTTGAATAGAAATAAAGCAGGGAAAAGGCCAGGGCCTGTGGCTTCACATATGTGTGTACATATGTGTATGATATGTGTGTTTATTCTAAGGAAATGGTTTATAAGATTATAGAGGCCAGCAGGTCCAAGGGCCTCCAGGGTGAACTGACAGCTGCAGCCCAAGGAGGAGCCTACAGTCTGGAGGTTGCCAGGCTTGAGGCTCAGGAAGGACAGCTGTGTCAGTTCAGTCTGAAAATGCAGGAAAAACTGATGTCCTATTTTCAGGGCAGTCAGGTGGACGGACTCTTCTTAGGGAGGGCCCCCTTTTTGTTCTCTCCAAGCCTTCAGAGTCATTGGATGAGATCCACCCACATGAAGGAAGGCTACTTAGGCATTAATCTCATTAAAAAAAATCTCACAGAAACACCGAGAGTCATGTTTGATCACATGTCTGAGCCCCTGTGACGAGCCTTGTTGATATCAGATTAACCGTCACCACGGGTACGGAGAACACCTCTCCTTGAAGAAATTCAAGATGAATATTTCCATTGAATTGTTCCACGGTGGGGAGAAATTTGAAGCTTTTATCCATTAAACTGACATTCTGTGAAAGGGGGCAGTTCTAGCCAGAGGTTTGGCTTACTGGCCCCAGATATTTTGTCCTGTGAGACCATGTTACTTTCTCTATAGTCTAAGTCTCAGCTTGATAAATGGTTCTTTTTAATATTACACATTAGTTTCCTCTGGGTACCATGTCTGTGCCCATCAGTTGACATCACTGAAGGCCAGCACTTTCTCTCCTCTACTTAAGGTGTTTTCAGTGCTGAATATATATTCTTGTAAAGATGTACAAATATTTTGAGTAATACAAATAACTTCCTGCTTCATAATCTTTATGTACAAAAATTCACGCTCAAAATTTGCTTTCAGAATCACAGGTGCCAAGGTAATACAGAGAGTAGTGCCAAGGTAAGGAGAGGCCCTCCCAAACCCGCCCCTCCCAGGAAATGTTAAGGAGCAGACACTGAATACTCCTACCTTCAGCCGACAGCTGGAAAAAATGAACAAATAAAGCTTCTCATTATTTTGTAGAGTTTCTTTCTATTCTTCATGGTATCTTTTAGTTTTTAGAGCTTAAATTTTTAAAAATATGGTCAGATTTATCAGGATTTGGATTTTATACATATTTTGAAAACATGGTCCGATAAGCAATGGTCTAAATATATATTATCCCTTAAGTGTCTGGACTGCATCATGCAGAGTCAGATCTTTGTAGCCTCTATTTCACAAGTAGATATTTCCCAAGAATATTCCCTAATTCTTTCCTCCTCCTTTCTTCTGCAGATATATTACATAAATAGCTGTTTCTGAATTTTATTTTATTTTTTTTTTTAATAGAGGCATGCTTTATTTATTTGTTTGTTTGTTTGCTTGTTTTGTTTATACATGCACTGGGTACAGTCAGAAGCGCGGGAGGGTGAGAGAATCCACCAGAGCCAGAGCGGGGAGCAGAGCAGGCAGAAGGACCGAAGTACACTGCTGAGGGGAGCAGCAGGCGGCAGGAGAGGTCTGCGCGCCATGTGGGACCCTCCTCCGGTGGCCGGGGAGCAGCCGGGGATCGAACCGGCGCTGCAGAGGCTGCGAGCAGCTTCGCAACCCAGCGCTCAACCGCTGCGCCACCAGGGAGGCCCTGTTTCTGAATTTTAGACATAGATGTTGGAAGTTTTTTCTCTTACCTCTTTAACTCTGCAAATGTCTTTGCATTGTATTAGTGATTGTGAGTCCTTTCCTTTCCTCCATAGTGAGTTTGGTTTTTGTGGATTTCCTTTCCTCCATAGTCCTTTCCTCCATAGTGAGTTTGGTTTCACACAAAAAGGGATGAGAACAGACATCTTTTTCTTTTTTTAAAGTGATAGTTTAATAAATTATTAAAAGTGGAAAGTGGGCTACTGAAATTCTAGTTGCGTATCATGCATCTAGAGAAGAGATGGATTTTTTGTTGGATTACTGTACTCTTGGATCGTAGGCATCCAGTCACTCTCCTGTTGATCTTCTTTCTCCCAAAGATCCCTCATGTCCATGATCCGGAAGCGGTCCCACCCCGGCGGCAGTGGTGCTAAGAAAGAAAAGGCAGCTCAGCCAGAAGCAAGTAAGCCTTACCCTCGCTGGGTTACTTTCAATGTTCTTGGTGTGTCATTTTCCATTTACCCACCTGTTTGTGGAGTTCTTTGACTATGAACAGCTTTTTCACGGGAGAAATGTGAAGAACTTAATAGCTAAACCATCCATTGCTTTCCTGTCACTTGTTGTGTAGAGAAGAAATAACTGCATTGCTGTAAGGTGAAGTATCGGGGTGATGTGCTCTCATTAAGGGGTAAGGTGTTTTGTGATGTAAAGAGAAGGAGCAATTCCAAATGAGAAATTTGGAGAAAGGCTTTTTGTAGTTGACAACAAGTACACCAAGACTTTGTCAAGTATCTGCTACTGACTGCTGCTATGTACTGGAGATATAAGAGGTACAAGTTAGATTTGAGTGGGGGAGAAAAGAAGCAAATAAGTGATTATCCAATTAAATGTTAATTACTTAAAGAGAACATCTCCACATATGGTGGAGAAGGAGTATAAGGTTCTAAGGGTTATGGATGTGCACTGCTGGCCTCAGAAAGTGATGTTTCAGTAGTTGTGGTCTTAGAAGTAGGGGTGAGGGTGTTTAGAATAAAAGCAGTTCAGTGGGGGTGGTGGGAGAGCACATCCCCAAGTCTAAAGTCAGGAGGAAGCTTGGCATATTGAGAAACACAAAGAGTTGATATTCCTAGAACACAAAGTGTGAGAAAGGAGGTCAGTAGGCAGGCTCTGCAGGCTTGTCAGGGTTTTGAAATTGACCTTCGGGGAGGTAGAAATGTTAAGTAGGGGTGCAGTACAAGGAGATTTGTCTTTTGTTTTAATCACACTGCCTGTGGTAACAGACTGTGAAAGAATGAGAGCAGATGAGGGGGCTGGAAAGGCTGATGTTGAGGACAACGTGAAGATAGGGGAATGGAGGGTGAAGGGCTTTCGTATTGAACAGAGGCGCCTGGTTAATACTGATGCAGAGTTAAATTTTGTTTGTTTTCCTTATTGTTTTGAGACAGTTGGTACATCTTAAAGGGTCAAGAGGGCTGTCACAGTAAAATGATTTTCCCTTCTAGGTAAATTACATCATCAGCTTGTTCACCTCCACAGGATCCTTACATTTAAAAAAAAAAAAAAAGTATTCTAGAACTTACTAACCCTCAGTGTTGGAGACCATCAGTTTTCCTCACGGCAATGATGTTTCACCCACAGTTCAGATGTTTTCTCTCACATCCATGGGTACTGGATTATTCTTTTGAGAATCTAAACAGACTGACTGACGCAGAAGTGGCTGAAGAACCTCCAAGCTAGAGCGATGCTAAATCCTGCTGCCTGATGTGATAGGTGCCACAGCCACCCATGGGCGGAGCATCACCCACTGTCTGCAAGGGCATTATTTATAGTGTCTCGTTAATTGTGCTCACTAAAAGTGGCTCTTGAATGAATCGATCAACAATGATTGAATGCATGATGGATGAATGTGGAGCATCAAGCTTTGGGGTCTTCTGTGACCCATTGATATGTGCAGTGATAACATAGGGGCCAGCCTTGCTGTCAGTATTTTCTTCTGTTAGCATCTTATGATGCCTTTTAAACTCTAGTTGGTGGGCTTTCTAGAACTCATGAATGGAGAAGCTTTTATTGCTGGGTTATAGCTCTTAAAAAACTTAGGCATAGGGAATTCCTATCCAATAGTTTAGAAATAGTTTTGATAGCTTAAAGGGCTTGAAGTAAATAAGTCCAACACTGATAGAAGTGCATTTATTAGGCAAGTTCTGAGAATTCAGAGTGTGCCTGCTGTTTATCACATACTTTGGTCAATAAAGTTATCCCAGTTTGCTAATCTGTAGAGTGGGGATAATCATTATTATTTCATAGGGCTTGTAAGAATTAGTGACTCAAAACATGTGTATAGATTAGTACCCAGTACCTAAAAAGCACTCAAAATGTTAGTTTAAAAAACTGAAAACAATAATGGACTCAGAACCAACCACTCTTTGGAGGCACAAAGACTCATAATTCAGCAAATTCTTGTCATCATTGCAGTTAAGGAAATGTCCTTGACTTTATGACTTGAGGTCTAAGTCAACCTTACCCACCCATAAATGTACTTGAGAAATTTCATACACCGTGGTGACGTAAGATTTTTTTTAAAGATTTATTTATTTATACAAGAACCAGGGTACAGGCCAGAGGCGCTGAGAGTCGGGGGCAGTGGGGGCGGTGAGAGGATTCACCAGAGACAGAGCAGGGAGCAGAACAGGCAGACGGACTGAAATACACTGCTGAGAGGAGCAGCAGGCAAGACAGGAGAGGTCTGCCATGCCATAAGGGCCTCTCCCCAGCCGGCCAGGATTGAACCCGCGCTGCAGAAGCTGCGGACAGCCTCACAATGCAGGCGCTCAACCGCCTGTGCCACCAGGGAGGCCCGACGTAAGATTTTTTTAAATGCCTTTTCAGTAGTGTTACTGAAAGAGAAAAGAGAAAATTCCTGTGGAATTTAGAAACTCATTCTAGTTTCTTTTAGGTAATAACAAGAGGTTTTATTGAGCAGCACGGTGATGGTTTTGTCTGTGGGTTTTTTTTTTGGGGTTTTTTTTTTTTTTTTGCATAACTAACTTATTTTTCAAGTGGGTCTTAAAATTTAAGCCTCAATTAATTCCATGTAGCTTTCTGATTCAGGACTGATCTTGAAGCACTAACTCAAAGAACATTTGATTTTATTTTCCTGTGGCAGTTCGATAACATTAGACCTGTTGTCTTCATTTGTCCCTTTTCTTTAATCTCCAGCATCCTGCATATTTCTATTGTCCCCCTGATTACATGCTTTTGTGAGACAATTACCAACTGCGTGATTGCAGAAAGAATTACAAAACATACCATGAGCTCTCTGTAGGTGATTCGTGCAGATTTATTAGACTGCTTAATAGTTTAGAAGTTCATATAGATTGCTTTTTGCTAGTTCAAAAACGGGGTCGGTGAGAGAGAAAGCTGTGTAGCGAACCTAGCATGGCCTTGTATTGTGCCCGAGTAGGGAATCTGATAAGAATGATTTCTTTCCCTTAAGACCAATTAAGTCTTTACATTTGAAAAAGACTGAGAAATTAAAGCCTGGTTTATAATCTGCACAATAAAGATAGTGACACTTCTCTGAATTATCACTATGATTCTGGCAAGCACATATAAGAAACTACTTTAAATTCCTGCTATGTTAGATGCTGCAGCAGATTTGAATGTTGTTGACCATCATTCTCCATCTGTCTGCCTTAATTAGTTTTTGTATGGTGCATTTAATGGGGTTTCAGTCATTCCTTGTAGGGAGCTGATCTGTTTGTAGGCAGCCTTCCTGCTGCCAAGCAGCTCTTCCCGACTCTCACTCAAAATGGCAGCCTTTCTGAAAATGGTCTTTGAAAATTATTATTATTTTTTTAATTTCCAAGATTAAATTCCATACCCATACAGGTTACCAGGTGCTTGAATGGCAGATCTGGGTTTATCTGTTCTGATTTTAAATAGGGTCAGCATAAACATTGCTTAGTAGGGATTCAGACACCGAGTGAGTGAGTGCATGAATGAATGATGAATTTCTGTGCAGAGCAGGAGTCTTCTCTGGGCCCTCGGTGACATTTGTGAGCCATCAACAGAAGCTATCCAACAAAATGCTACTTCAGGGTACATGAACCACAGTTTCATCTTATTTTCTGGTGGATGAGTTCTGATTTCAGAGCCATGTTTCCCACATTGCCTGGCAAAAGATATTTTTTTGACTTCTAAATCTGAGAAACATTAGGATGTTGAAAAATTTTAATTCCCTCTTTCATGACTTGGGAGCATGGCATGGCATGATTTGTAGTCAAGGCTAGATCAGAACCTGTGGCTGTGGTGCTGCTGAGGTGAGAATGGTGGACTCTTCTGGACTTGCTTAGTCACACCCCTAAGGCATGTGTATGAGAGGAAGAGCCGCCATGGTTAGAGTGATGTCCCGCCATGGCGCCGAGAAGGCCACAACTCAGGCCTACATCCTGGGGATGTAGTTGTGATTACCTCCATTAAAGTCAGCCTTTTGGGTTTAGTTATTTGTGCTCAGATTCCAAAATCATTAATAGCCATTTAAAGCCAGGAGGTAGTCAATAAGTAGATACTTCTTGAGTGCCCACTATATGCTGGGCAATATAGAGACTCTTTAAGATGGTAATTGAAAGGTCTCTATGAGATATTTAAAGATAACAATGGCTACAGTGAGTTAGGTGGAAGCAAACACAAGATCTAGAACTGCATTAATGGTGATAAGTGTTCCAAATAGATTCAGTGCATTTGGGCGAGCTATTCTTCAAGACGGACCAGTTTCACTGCCCTCATGAACAGGTTTAAGCTCACCTCAGCTGAATTCATCTAATTGATTAACAACTTTAGTGTCTTTGCAGCAAAATAGTATGAAGGTTAGACATAGACAGTTGAATAATTTTTATCAAGTTTAATTACTTAATTGCAATCATTTCTAGATGTGTTTTTTTCTTTTAACATTGACAATTTAAAAAGGGTTGAAAAAGCTTTCCTTCAATATTTCCTTCCCATGGGATTCTTAAACAAAAGATGGTAATTTAAAAATAGATTTTACTGTTCTTCTGTTGACTGTGACTATCTTCCAGCAAGGAAACGATCTTTTTGATCTTTTGTTTTCCAATGGACTTTTAATAACTTTTCCTTTGGGGGATGATTTCTTTGACATGGAATGTATCTTAAGTTATAAAGACATCTTTGAGGCAACGATGAATTATTATTTAGGTTTTTAAAGACTTGGAGAAATTCAAGTCTGTCATTTTGCTGACAAATGAAACAAAATCCACTTTAATTGTTTAACACAGATAAGCCAGTATTGACTTCAAGGTCACAAAAATGCAGACCTTAAATTTTGTAACTCTTATTTTGTAACGCACGTATTTTATCACCAGATTTTTTTTAACCTAGAGAATTGTTATTACCTGGTAGCCATTAACTGTAGTAAATTGCTGGCATTCTGTGACTCTGTCTGAAAAATGACTGTGCTTAATTACACAGTGCAGTCTTTCTAAGTCACCAAAAATAGGAGTCGTTGTTTTCCTGTAACGTAAGATGATTTTACGTGTATGTTTTGAATAGCTGAAGAAGTCACGGATCTGAAGAGGCAAGCAGTTGAAGAGATGATGGACAGAATTAAAAAGGGAGTTCACCTCAGACCGGTTAATCAGACTACCAGACCCAAGACGAAGGTGAGGCGTGGCCACTTGTTTCCTCTTGATGTTTCCTTTTTGAAATGTAAAAATTTGAGATTTGATGAAAGCCACATCAAGACTGTCAAATCTTAGCATAAGGCTAATGTGTCACAAAAGCTTTAACTTCCCCATAGACATGTTTCGGGAAGACAGCGTTTGACCTAGAGTAACCCTCAATCTCTGCAGAGAGTAGGCAGCCATGTCACCGCCGGTGCTGGCCTAGCAAGTAACAGTTTGAGGTGCCCTTTCTTTTCTTTAATTCCTGCTTCATTTGTAGCAGTACAAATATTTCATGAGTCTCAACTGTGTGCCGGGTGCAGTTGTGGGCACAGAGGAAAGGCAAAAACCCTGCCTTCCTTCAGTTCTATCTTAACGAGGGGCAGGGCAGGGGGTGGTGCAGGGAAACATCTGGGAGGGGAATCATATAATAAAGCCAGAAAGGATGGAAGACAACTTTGGAAAACTAGTGACATTTGTAGGGTTGTTTTCATTGATTCCATACACCTATTTCAGGTCATTTCAAGGAGTAAATTGTATGTATATATAAGTAAACACTTGCCACCTACATGTCATCAGCAGCCTTCTAAACTTGACCATCGTGAGGGCTTCAGCTCTCAGGGAAGGATGGGAGTCTAGTGTGCCCCCCCCACCCCGGTATATATGTCCTTTGTAAACATCCAATACTAGAATTTTGTACATTTTTCTTGCAAAATGTTTTCTCTTTCCTCACTCTCATAAGGTGTCAACAGACTGAAGCTTTTCTTCCTTTAGACTGAACTTTGTTTTTTCTCACTGTCGAGGATACCCCCGTTCAGCTGAATCAGTGTTACCAAATGTGGTGACTGTTTAGCACAAATTCCTCTGAGCTTATTTATTTATTTGTTTGTTTGTTTGTTTATGCAAATACTGGGGCACAGTCAGAGGTGTGGGAGGGTGAGAGAATTCACCAGAGACAGAGCTGGGAGCAGAACGGAGGAAGACTGGAGGGAAGTCAAGCCTCTGCCTGTGGGTTTCCCCCTGGCGGGTTGGGAATTGAACCCGCGGCTGCAGAGGCTGCAGACAGTGTCACAGCGTGGCGCTCAACTCGCTGCGCCACCGGGGAGGCCCCTCCTCTGAGCTTTTAAAGTGGCCACTTTGTTGTCGAGAAGGCAAAAGGGGCCATAGTACGGGCTGTCCGAAAGGGGGTTGGAAAGGGGGAGAAACACTCAACTCCAAGAATAGACTTGCATCTGGGGAAATGGACGCTTCAGCCAACCACATAGAGTAATTCAGTTTGGTGTTAGTGCTCTGAATACAGTTGTAAAGGAAGCCACGACAGGATGTGGATGTGGAAGAGGCGCTGGGTTGTTGGACAGCCTGGCACCACTGTTTGGGCGCTGGTATCTGGTTACTCTGCTGCTGCAGGCGGGGCCCTCGCACATGCAACTTTCCAGAGTTTTCTCCCCACAAAGCAGGGAGTGCACCTGCTCTATCAAATGCAGAGCTGGTGTCAGGATTAAATGTATTAAGGTGTGAAAGTACTTTCAAGTACAGGGTGGTAGGGGCATCTTGGAACAGAAAACATTTTTATAACTTTCATGTCATGACTATTAAGGGAAGAATAAGTGAAACCAGACGTTACTAGAGAAAAATGCAGTGTCAGTGTCAGAAAGACACAAAATCAATTTATTTTCTTTCTTTTTTAAAGATTTATTTATTTATTTATACAAGCACTGGGTACAGTCAGAAGCGCGGGAGGGTGAGAGAATTCACCAGAGCAGGGAACAGAACAGGCAGACTGATGAAATACACTGCTGAGGGGAGCAGCAGGCGGCAGGAGAGGTCTGTCTCACCATGTGGGACCCTTGCCGGCAGCTGGGGATCGAACCGGCCTGCAGAGGCTGCGGACAGCCTCGCAACCCAGCGCTCAACCGCTGCGCCTCCGGGGAGGCCCCAACAAAATCAGTTTAGAAAGAAAAATGTGGAAACCTTCTTAAATCGTAAGCAGTGAATGTTCCATATGTACTTTCATTTTCAGAATATCACTTTGCCCTTTTTCTTTCTTACCACGGCTCTTCCAATAGCTGTCCGTTATGTAATGTCAAAATCTGGAAAACAGCTGAACAAGGACCAGTGGACGGCTGGGTTATTTGCTGGTAATCTTTAAATGACAACCTGGTCAATAACCTTTAAAACAAATGGTCACAGCATGCATGAGTGCAGCTGCTGCCCCAGGACCATCAGCGCTCCCCTGAAATGTCAGCCATTAGGAGCGGTGGTCCAAGCTTCCAAAGGCTGATGCAGCCAGAGCGCACCTGCTTGCAAGCGACACTTTTGAGTTTGCCTTTAGCCAGGGCATTGGCTCAAAAGTCACAGCTGGTCACCTGAACGGTTTACCTGCAGAAGTCAATCCTGCCTGGAGAATACTAATTTAACTGCAGAGTTTCTAAATGATGTTGCTGGCAGCACTGCTGTGGTTAAAGCTGGTGTCTTAGAGCTGATGACTGGCACTTTTAACTGCCACTGACGGCATGTATATTTCACAGGAAGCCTAGGCTGTGAGCGTTGGATGCCCAGTCTAATTTGTACACAAGCAGCAAACCTCTCTCTCCCTCACAGTTCATTTGTTGAGACTGGCATGGGCTCTTGTTCTTATCTTTTGAGAGGAAAGGATTATAGGTTGCTATGAACCACCTCCCATTTCTTGATGAGGGAGAAGTGAGCCTTCACTCCTTCCCAGGAATGAGGGGACTGGGGGCTTCCTTTCACTCTGTCTTTCTGTCTTGCAGGTTTTCTCTTCATCTCTGTCCTCTGTGAAAGGGCGCAGTACGGGGAGAATGAGAGGCCTTTCTGATCTTTTTCAAGAGAGCCTCATGCTGAGATTTCCCCTCCATTAAATTAGTTGAGAGAGCCACAGAGACTGTTTGGTGGTATGGGGCAGACAAATATTACACAGAACTTCATTTCAAATTAGTTTGTTCGAAGTTTGGGAAGAAGAGACCTAGGCTTGTATTCCAGACACCAGACGCAAATACAGCCTTCCTCAAGGTGTAACTTTCCTCGTGAGTACGAGGAGGGGATTGGTCTGTACACCCTCTGAGGCCCTCTGCTGCGGAATGTAACATTCTCCTGCCAGCCAGGTCCTTTGCTGGGCCCAGCTCTTAACTCAGTGCTAGTGTGAAATTCCTGAAACCAGACCTGCCGGTCTTTGTAAACTGGCCTTGGCCTGGAGCTCGTGATGCTGAGAGAGGTTTCTGCCCCGTGGCTTGCTTTCTGCCCTGCTCTGCTGCCTTCCCGTTCCTTGCTTGTCCATTCCCACAAGTAGAAACAAGTTTCTTATAAAAAGTTCTGAGTAATTTTGAATTATATCTTTGAAATCTAGTGTTTACCAAATCTTTTCTATCTATATGATAACTGGAGGTGACCTAATGATTTGTAGAGGATGGGAGATTGAGTTCTTTTACTTTTGCTTCTAATTATTGCTATCAGAAGTATTTCTTCTAATTTTCTACTTACTCACCCCTTGGGAACACTAACATATTGTGTATTTTTTCCCTAACCTTACAATGTAGACCTAATTAAAAAACACTGTCAATATAAGTTACCAATATTTGCTATATAAAAGTCTTTGTTTAGTGTTTTAAAACTGAACTACTCAATCATTTTTTTTTTCTCTTCTTAAAATTGTAGCCAGAATCTGCAAAAGGCTCTGAAAGTGCAGTGAATGAACTCAAAGGAATACTGGTAAGGCCAGATCTCAGCTTATTATTTAGTTAATGGGTAAATGAAAGAAGAATGTCTTAAAAATCTGTTTTTATGGGTAATTGGTCTTCATATGCTTTATGTCCATTTACAGTAAGCCTCATTTCTATGGAGCATTTACTTGCCCTGCTAGGGGCCCTCCATGGCATATGTTGTAATGTATCCAGCTTCACTTGTTTCTATTTTAAAAGGATGGTTACACATTCATCAAATCAGTGTATCCTGTTCTTCACCTCCAATCTTTGCATTACAGCGTGACTATCAAGTGTTTGGACAGATATGAGGATGAGTACATATTTATTAATACCAGAAACACAGTAGAGTCTCATGTATGGCTAGCACCTTACTTCAGGACATGAAGTAGAATTCTTGGCAATTTAAACATAAATCTGAGCATCTACCCAAATCCATTAGTATATGGGCTATAGTCTGCTTTTCTCCATGGCTTAAAAAATTATTGGATGATAAATTGGAGAACAAATTAGAGTCCCTTTATGTTACTCATTTCATTTTCTAAAAGTAACTCTATTTGTTGGTGAACACTCTTAATGCCCATTTCTAAATAATCTTTTTTTCCCCAAAGGCTGAACTTTCACCAGCAGAATAAATGAGTGTTGCCCCACCCAACAATTGCTATCAGAGACAAATGCCTCACTTAGGAAATGTTTCAGATACAGAAATCCCTGTTCTCAGATCCTGTTGCAGTCTCAATACCAGTTATTATGCACAGTAAGTCAACAGACATGGGGGCAGAGGCACAGAACGAATATTCCCATGTTTGTTGTTACTGTGCTAATTATGCATTGCATTTAGACATCCACATAATTGAGGTAAACAAAATTATTTTCATCAAACATGAAGCAGTAGACTTAACTCTTAATAGCTTAATTACTTTGATTAAGTTTTAGGTAAGTGGAATTAGTACTCAAGAGAGGCCTATCAGTGGCTAACTGTAGTGGTTTACCTACAGAATGAAGTATTAAAGCCACTGTAAAAGTATGCGGTTATTTTCCTGGATGAGAAATTTTGTTATCCAGTGTTCTACTAAGGAGTACCAGGACAGTCCCTTTTGTTGTTTCCATGTTGTAATGCTAATTCCTACTGTAGCACATGTTCTCAGGGCATCATGTGGGCCTAGAGTATACTTCTGGTCATCGTGAAAGAGTAAGCCATACTGAGTTTGACCTCTTAAAAATTAAATTTATTTGAAAAATCAGACAGACATTTATATAACATCCCTGTATTTGATTATCCAAGATAGCTACTCTCTGATAATGATGGATGGTAACAAGTTTACTGAATTATAGTGGTGCTCTTAAAAATCATATTCATTGTGTAGTCATATTTGCTATAATTCTGTGTCCCTTCAAGAAAGACACTTGTGAAACTGATTTGTGTGAAATAACTTATGTTTAAAAATCTGCAAAGCATAATTCCTTTCTACAAATCATCCCATCCTCCTTGGCCTGAATTTATAATTAGATTTTTTACTTTAGTCTGGCATTATTGTATCACTAATAGCAATTATTTGGGCAATATTTCTTTGCAGTAAGTTTTTTTTTTTAAATGGACTCATACTCTCCTTGTTCTTCTTTGCCAAATGGGCAGTCTCTGCTACCCCTGTAGTTTTTTTTTTTTATGTTTGTTTGTTTGTTTTTTGAGAGACAATGGACCATTTGTAACTCCCAATCCCTTAGTGCCAAATAACCATCTAGATTCTTGTGAGCAAGGGGGGGCGGGGGAGAGAGAGAGAGTGTGCGAGCAAGCGAGCCGCCTCCAGTGGGGCTCTATTGGTGGCTCTTGCTGAAGTTCATTAGTGCCTACAGCACCAAATTCACTTTTCCAGCATGCGAGAAGCAAACATGGAAAGAATATGCAAGGGGGTAGTTCCACTGTGGAACTGGAACAGAAACCAGCAATAAACTCAGTATTAGGCATTTGACTAACGTAAAACGGTGACCTGAGTTGTAAGGACATCCACAACTTCAAGCCCTACCCACTGCTGAAAGGTAGCAGATGGGAGATGGGACCTTATTACATTCTGAGTTGTACAGCTTTCAAGCCAACTTTTAAAGTCCCTGTGTTTACCGAACTTGTTTTTCCAAGTCTGTTTACACTTAATTTTTTAAAGCTGAGTATTTTGTAGATTAAAAAATATATATATGGTTCATTTCCCATATCCACACAAGAGTTTTGCAGCTTTGGAAACCCCTGGAGTCACTCCAATCATTTCAAAGTCACTCTGTGTGGAAATGACAATTTCTGAAGAAAACAATCAACACAAATAATAAACCAAGTTCAGTTGTCTCAAAATCAAAGAAATAAAAACAGCTTTTAAAAAAAGTCTCTCTCAGGAAATTCTGGAGCAGCTTTAGTTGTTCAGAATACCCGCAAATTGTTGAATACTTAGTTTTGTCACATGACAATTTAAGTCAGTATTATGAACATTTAACTACCATGGGGGCTAAGATTATTAAATGATCAAATGGTTTGAAGAAGCAATAGTGGGCTGGTTTGGGAATTCAAAGAGTTAAGTCCAAGGTTCAGCCCCATTGCTGACTGATCTTGACTCCTGGCCCAAAACCCAAGAGTTGGCAAATTTGATTTCTCTTCTTAGAAAATGAAGAAATTTAATGTTAGTTTCTAAATTAAGACAACCATGGTACTTTATAATCTGAGCTCTTTGATAATATCAGTGGAGGGTCATGCAGAAACCTTTCTTCCCTCCAAAATTGCTTCTATATTAAAAGTTTGCTCTTGAATTAGCTCATCATCATGAATCAGTGAGTGACGAAATAAGTTTGGGATTCAAGGATTAGAACTTGGAAAATGGATTCTTTCAGTATGAGGTGTGACAAGAAGGTAGCTTACCACACAGTTAGGAATTTGGGGAAGTCATGATGTTAACCAAGTGGAAAACAGAGAGTACTACAGAACATAAATTCTTCAGTAAAGATATCCCTGAACCATGGATGTGTATGTACACACACACAATACACACACACACGCACGCACGCACGCGCACACTCTTTCCTTGAATTAAGTCCAGCCACTGGGAAATTACACAGAATGTCCTTAATATTCAAACAATGTAGTAGTTTTATGAGTTATTTTAATAGTACTGACCATAAGTTTTGCAGATATCCATTTACAAGTGACGCATCTATTAAGATTTTTTTAAAAATCGTAGACACAAATGATTTGAGAATAGTTTCTCTAGCACATTTTAAAAAAATTATCTAAATTGGCTTTTGTTCTGTTTTTATTACTTTATCAGTATTAGTTTCATTCTTTATAATTCTCTGATGATTAGGTACAGATCTGGATTAACGTTTAAATAAATAAACCAAGTTAACTGTTAAGTTAGCTGTTCCAGATTAACTGTTAAATAAGACACCTAATCATCTCATTTTTAAGGTATAAAATACTACTATAATGTTACATATAATGTGATTTTCCTTTGAATATATCTTACAAATTTTTGTAATAAAAGCAGACAGAGGTTGGGGGGAGGGTATTATATGCTTGATTAAAATATAAACCTTATCTAAGTATTTTACACATTGGCTTGGGTCAGGTAGCTCACAACAAAAAATTATAATCTAATCTTATTAGCCATTCTCCCCCTTTGACAACAGGCTGCTTTTCTATAACTGTAAGCAATTTGGGGGAAGAAACCTGTTCAAACAAAACAACATGATAACCTATATCATGGAATGTTTGTAACTGCCTGACTTTACAAGCTACTTTTTTGTTTTATAGATTGAAGAAGAAACATGAGTTACCATTTTAACCAACAGAATTCTTAAAATCCTTCAGGAAGTTGGCAGAGGGCAGGGATCAGGATTAAGGCCGGCCCTCAGCCATCTCAGAGATGACAAAAGGCCAGTCTGGGTGTGAGCCTCAGTGGAGAAAAACTGCCTTTTGACTGTGGCATGAAGTCTGGCCAGTTATACCAGACTCGAGGTTCTGATTTTCTCTGATCAGGAGATCAGGAGATTATGGTTCTCTTGGTTTCTCCTCTCCTACCCCCAGGCCTGAGGCATTAACCGTGGAAGACTATTTTAAAGAAGTAGCAGGCATTTCTTATGAAAGAAAACGGGCCCTTTGTAATGGCGGGGTGCTAAATCCTTACATGCAAGAAGTACATCACCCAGATTTCTGTACAAACAGCTGTCTGGCAATGGAGATGGAAAACCACAGCTCTCTCCCTGCCACATCCTTCCCAGAGGAGGCCGGGAGGGAGCCGCTGCTTGGGTCTGTCTCTGTCGTCTTGGAAGTCAGTACTGAGTTTAGTAGGAGCCCAGCTTTATGGCATCTCTCGTTTCCTTTAGTATTTTCTAGACCCTAATAATATATTCTTTTAGGAAGATGGAATTATGACCCCAGACCCTTCCTTTCCACCCTGAATGATTAACCTTTCCTCTTTCACTCTGAAGTCAAGGTGTACTCACTTCACTGCTTCTTTGGGAGGCCACGAGAGAGCATCATGTGCCTCCGTGGGCTGCCACACCTTTGCTACCCAGTGTGCCACCAAGGTTATTCTCTCTGAAGAATCAGCCACACATTTGTCAGTGCCACAGGGATTTGGGTTCAGTAGCTTATGGCTGCCATATCAAGATATTCTTCGAAGGTGAGTTCAACATCTGTTCTCTTCTCCATGCAGTGGATCAACACCCATCAGAATCTTAATCATCGATATGCAAGTACTTCCCCACCCCCGGCTCTCATGTAGGCAGCTCATCAAGAGGAGTTCTTGTGCCGTTCTTTTGATATGAAAGCTAACATCTTACATCATCACTAACATCATCTTAAGTGATCCAGCACTATATCTTGAAGATGACCACATTAAAATATATATATGTATATGGCAAATTCATTTTATTTCCTGATTCCATTCAAATTCTGGTAATGTTTTGGTAATTTGATTTTTATATTCTTTTGTTTATTGTATTAAGACATTAACCCTTTTGTTTTTTTGTTTTTGTTTTGTTTTCACTTTAGGGGGCACTTAACAAATCCACTAGTTCAAGAAGCTTAAAATCCCTTCACACTGAAAACAGTGAAACTGAGTTAGAAAGGATTCTGCGTCGCAGAAAGGTGACAGCAGAAGCGGATAGCAGTAGTAAGCTGGTTTGATTCTCCACAGCTCTGTCCTTCTTCTCAGAAACGTCTTTCTATAGATCCCTTTTTAACATGAAATCATATTTTAAAAATTATTTATTTTAATATGAGTGAGAAGTAATGGATAGTCAAAGGTACTTCAGGATATTGCCAAGAAATGAAATGCTTAGTTATTTAATGTTGCTTATTTAATGTTGTATTTGTATATTTGTAAGTTATTTATTTAATGCTGTATTTATATATTTGTAAGAAATCGGGCTTTTATAGATCCCTACCTTGCTTAAAGCAAGATGCCCTGGTTAAAGGCATCCAGGAGGGCTCTAACAACAATATAGCAGGGAATATAGGCCCCAGAATCAGAATCAGGACTCCTGAGTTTGAATCCCAGCTTTGTCATCTCTCAGCTGCTTGGCCTGAAGCAAATTTCTTAACATCTCTGTGCCTCAATTTCTTCATCTATTAAATGAGGTTAATAAAAGTACTACTTCAAAGGATTATTCTAAGGATTAAGGAAGTCAGTGTAGCAAATGTGCTTAGCACTATAATGGAGTAAACCCAGTGGGTTGCTTCCTGTTTACCCGGTTGATGGGCTTCACCCACATACTTATGAACATAAGACATAAGCTAAAAGCAGGCAGAAGAAATAAAATAGCAATAACAAAATTTATTTACACAAAGAGTGAGAAAAGGGGGAGGAGAGAGAAAGGAAAATTTACCGGCAGGCACATGCCCAGATGCCATCTGTCCTATAGTATCTGCTGAGCAGAGACCTAGGTCCAAGCCAAAGCCACACACTTCAAGTTGGTGACTTCTTCACAGACATCCTTCCTCACCAGCAGCTTCCCCCATTCAGGAAATGGAGTCTAAAGGCTCTGCCTTCTACCAACTGAACTGGCCATGAGTACCACCTACTGGCTAGAGCTTGATCCTCACTGTTTCTCTTATAGCTCTATGCCTGGCACAAAATTAGCACACAATAGATTGTAGAAATAGTTCACACTTCAGTTGCAAATGTAGATAAATCATCTTTATTTTTTTATCTGTTTCTGTTTTATTGCCTCCGTGCACCAAATGAATAAGAAATTCCATCTCCATCACTGTAAGTGAACTTCCTAGCAAGGCTTGAGCTCAGTTTGCATTTTGTCGTGATGTACAAGTGTTGGTCTTCAAAATCTGTCTCAGAACTTAATTTTGTTTGGTTTTAGTTTTGATCAGCTTGGTCACAGGAACTAATATAAATCTTTATCAGGTTTATTCATCCCTGGTTCCCTGTGGCATGGGCACCAGCTTTAAAAACTACTCCAAAGTTAAAAAAAAATCAACTTCTCCAAAGTAAAATTAATCAGCCACTATTGGTAATTGGCTGAAATTTTTAGATGCACTTCAGTCAACTTATTAATCATTGTTTAAATTTTCAAAGTCATCCTTGCTGAATTTAACTTGCTACAATATTAAGAATTTTGGTTTTTGATCATCAAGTTCTAATTTCACCTAGGGATTTACTCAAACAATGGGGTGCATTGGTTCTTTGAACCAAAAGCACCATAATACCAATCAGATTAGTATTATAAAGAGATATGAAACCTTCATTTCCTTCCTAAAAACAAAAGAAAAGAAAAGAAAAACAGCTCATCAGTTTTTAGTGTGGTCTGGAAATTCTGCCGTTAAAATCTAATCAGAATTACACGTCCCCATTCCCCCAAAGAATAGCCACCTCTCAGGAAGGTTATGAGGGATTCCCCCCCACCCTTGGGCTCACTTTAAAAGCATCTGCCCAGTCTTCATAATGAGTCATCATTCATTTTGTGACTTAATCATTGTTTCCAATATTTCGTCTTTAAAATACTTGTGGGCCTCCCGGTGGCGCAGCGGTTGAGCACTGGGTTGCGAAGCTGCCCGTAGCCTCTGTAGCACCGGTTCAATCCCCGGCTGCTCCCCGGCCACCAGAGGAGGGTCCCACATGGCGCGCAGACCTCTCCTGCCGCCCGCTGCTCCCCTCAGCAGTGTACTTCGGTCCTTCTGCCTGCTCTGCTCCCCGCTCTGGCTCTGGTGAATTCTCTCACCCTCCCGCGCTTCTGACTGTAACCAGTGCTTGTATAAATAATAAATAAATAAATCTTTAAAAAAAAAAAAATCTTAAAATACTCGTGGCAGACATTATTTTTTAGGATGTAGTAGACGCCATTTTGTGCTCTGCATTTTGCCTCTGACATAGTTGATCCTCTGGAAGCTTCTTCACTCTTGAAATTAGTACAACAGCACTCACCACTTCAGCATTAGTTTTCAAGGAGAGAACATTTCATCTCAGTCAATATGAGAATGTGATTATTTCGAAGAGTGGAGAAAGGTAGAAACACAGGTTATGGGCGTGGTGAGAATGTTTCATTTATTATATTCTAATAGATACATATTCAATTTATCATTTGAGGAAAGTAGAGAATATTCAAAAGAATCAATATTGGGATAGAGAAATAAAAATAGTGTAACTGGCAGTGTGGAGAGGAAGCACATGTGAAGAGAGAAACTTGTAGCTGAGCAGAAGTTTTCTTTTGTGCTTCCTAATAGCCAAAGAAAAAAGGGAGGGGAGAAAACGGACTTATAAACTTTCATCTAGCAGAAGAAAGTATACTATATATATATTTTTTAAGATTATTTATTTATTTATTTATTTATTTATTTATTTATTTATTTATACAAGCACTGGGTACAGTCAGAAGCGCAGGAGGGTGAGAGAATTCACCAGAGCCAGAGCAGGGAGCAGAGCAGGCAGAAGGACCGAAGTACACTGCTGAGGGGAGCAGCAGGCAGCAGGAGAGGTCTGCGCTCCATATGGGACCCTCGCTGGTGGCCGGGGATCAAACCGGCGCTGCAGAGTCTGCGGGCAGCTTTGCAACCCAGTGCTCAACTGCTGTGCCACCGGGGAGGCCCTACTATATTTTTTACAAATGTTCTCCTAGCATCAAACCAGAAGAGAGATTTACATGAAAGTCTTTTTATAAATGTCATGAAATGACAAAGTGACAATTCCAGGGGTGAAAAATGAGAAACTAAAGCAATATAACTGCATGTGTGGTGGGAGCAAATTATAGAGATCAGTTTGATAGGTTTGCGCCTCAGATAGTCTTGAATCTCCCAAGAATTTTCTTTCTTCCAACGGAGGCTACTAGGGAAGCTAAATGTGTGGTCACAACAGTAGAGAAAGCACCCAAGGGGGCAAGGTAACCTGAGGGCTGCAGAACACAGATCCCAAGTTAGTTAGTATCTCCCCAGTGGTCAGTGTAGCATTTTTTTCCTTTAGGATTTTTCTTTTTTTAAAAAATTTATTTATTTATTTATACAAGCACTGGGTATAGTCAGAAGTGTGGGGTTGGGGGTGGGGGTGAGAGAATTCACCAGAGCCAGAGCGGGGAGCAGAGCAGGCAGAAGGACCGAAGTACACTGCTGAGGGGAGCAGCGGGCGGCAGGAGAGGTCTGCGCGCCATGTGGGACCCTCCTCCGGGTGGCCGGTGGCCGGGGAGCAGCCAGGGATCGAACTGGCGCTGCAGAGGCTTCGGGCAGCTTCGCAATCCAGCGCTCAACCGCTGAGCCACCGGGGAGGCCCTAGGATTTTTCTTATGAACCTAACTGATACTCCCTTGTTTTGCCTAGACATGTGGCCTACCAAGCATTTTAAAGAGCATCAAGTACCTCTTGAAATACACTGGGCAACTTAAATAGGATGCAGTCATAAAAATAATAATACGCTTAAACATTATGCATTTTTCTTTCTTTTTGTATGTAAGAAAAATAAGAGTTCTGGCTCTGCTTTTTGAATTGGCTTCAGTTGCAGAATAAGCAATAGGGGTTGGTGTATTCAGAAACAGATCTTGTTTCCCTACAAGGAGAGATTGTTTGAACTATCTAATGTAGTAGTCAACAGTTATCCAAGGGTAGAATGGAGCTTAAGTGAATCTTGAATTCACTTCATATATTTATTTTCAGGAACTTTCTTTCTTGATCTTTCTGTCCTTCTCTCTTTATTTCCACCTTCCCAACAACATGTGAGGCTCAACATAGTTGGAAAGGAACCTGAATATTCAGTAATATCATGAATGTGTCTTCCTAGATTGTATAAATGAAATAAATGAGGAAAACAGATATGATACTTTCTAGTCTGAGGATTTCCCCTAGACCCCAGGCAGTCTGTACTTCCCACACAGAGCAAGGCTGAAGGTGGCACAACAGGATGGCTGAACAAATTTCTAGTCTCTTAGATAGGTTCTTCAAATTAGGATGCCATTGTTGATATAATACATCAGACACATTTATATATAGCAAGAATAAAATTCCAGAGCTAAATATCAATCATTTTGGATTATACCCTCTAGTACTTTCCATTTTAGGAGTTGATCTGACATTTCTTAAGTATAAAGAGTCTCCCAGGTTTTGTCCTGTTCTTAGTGGCACCTCTCAAAAGTATTCTCTAGGTTCATTTTTAGAAGTTCTAATATTATTTGCACATTTGTGACTGACTATAAATTTCTTTGTTTTAAAAGAATTCCTTCTGAAATTTCAACAAACACACATTAGAATCTTGCTTTGAGAAAAACTGTCAAAAATAGTGCCTAACTAGAGACTGAATAAAAAGTAATGATGGCGCTTGGCTCCAGGGCCCAGAATTTTTAGCTTGATATGCCAATAATTTCAGTAACAAGCCCTTTTACTGTTTTAAAAATCTGTCCCAAAGAGCAGAAAAGTCCTAACTCTTTGCCACTTAATTTTTATAATCCTGTGTCTCTATTTTAAGGGGAAATAAATCCACTTACTTCTCAATCACATTAAAATGAAAATGTTCATAAAAGCTGTTTAATGCTCAAGAAGCCTTTATGAGCCTTTTAAAAAGAGCCTTTGACATTGTTCCATTTTCTGTTTAAAATGCAGAGCTGAGTTTTGGGAAGCATTAACTCTTGAGAGGCCAAATGGTTCAAGTAGGGCTGTCAGAAAGCCACACTCTGCCAGAAGAAAAGAATTTCCACAAACCCACTGAGCACTCTGGTCAGCGAGGGAGCTAGGGCTTGGGTTTTGTGGTTTCCTAAAGGTGTGAAGACAATTTCTCAGCATGGTCCTGGTACACTGAAAAGCGTAGCACCACCAAAGCAGAGCACATTTCTTGTAGGAACATTTTTGCAGCTTGAAATTTTAAAAAACTTGGCCTTTTCTCTTCCCAAGGGATTTTCAACTAATCTGTTTTTCAGTGCCATGTTAATAAGTATCACTCAGAATTATTAAACTTGAGGTATGTGTTTGGTTTTAAGGTCCAACCGGGATATTAGCCACCTCAGAGTCCAAATCCATGCCTGTGTTGGGTTCTGTATCCAGAACAGCCTTGAACAAGAAAACTCTGGAGGCAGAATTCAACAGCCAGTCCCCCCCAACACCTGAACCAGGTGAAGGGTCGTGTAAATTGGAAGGATGCGCAAGTTCCAAGGTTGCGTTTCAGTAAGTAACGTCGCTCTTTACTAAGTAGTGTGTAGACGGATCTGTGATGACTGATTTGTGTGTTGCTTTGCTTGATTTCTCTCTATAGAGATGTTGATTTGGCCAGCAAATACTCTTCTTTCTGCATTTGATGAGCCAACTTTTGATTCTAGGCTCCTAGCATATAGGTCTTAACTCTGATCCAAAGCAGATACGTGTAAAGAGAGTTCCTAAACTGGTTTAGTCATCAGATTCTTCTTCTACGCAATAAATTGACCTGGGTGATACTTATTCATCATCAGAATATAGTTAACCATTCTTTCAAGATTAAGATCAAGATTACACCTACACCTCTTAATAGTTCAAGAGTAGTCAAGGAAGACACTAGATCTTCAAATGTACTTGAAGGGTACGTTTTTACAAACTCATTTTCTGGTCTTTAGCTAAAGTTGTGCCTTAATATTGCTCTTCCCTGGGAATTAAAATATCCAATGTAAAGAGTTATATATGTAGACTTGCTCCAAAGTGGCACTTTGATTGTCAAAGAGTTAATCCTGCTATTGAATGTGTTTCAGACAGATCTGGTGAAGGATCAATTTGTTTCATAACAATGGCAAGCTCTTTCTGAAATTATTCTAGTTTTGCTTTAGTTCTCTTGCCAGGATGTCAGCTGGTTTGTCACTTAAAGAAAAGGAAGAGGTGAGACAAATCAGATCAGCGGAGTATTGTAATCACGGTTAATTAAACCTCTGATTTCCTGTTCTATCAAGAGAGAAAGAACTCCCTTTTTTTTGTACCTCTACCTGTCTTAGTTTAAAAGGTGAAGCCTGGACAAATGAAGTTGGAATTCAGTTTAGATCTATTTTTGCCAACCGGTATTTTCTTCCACTCTTGCACATTTCTCCCATTGGTACTATTAACTTTTTTTTTTCCCTCTTTTGGAATGAATGGCCTTCTTCTCAGATTTACAGTTTTATCTAATTTCATTGTGTTTAAAAGCACTTTTTCTCCTGCAGTCGTGTGTTTTCTTTCTTTTGACTGGAGTCATTTGAACAGTTCTAACAGAAAGATGATCTATATTCATTCTTCATCTTTCCTATTAAATTTGTTTAACACCTAATTTGACATCAGCAATCTGGCTACATTTGAACCAATATCTAGACACAAAAGCAATTTGGCTGAGACAAGTTAGTTTCTGAGAAATGCTTCAGTGTGTGTGTATAGATTTTTTTTTCTTTTACCATTTTACACAGATAATCTTAATCAGAAAATACTGCAACTCCTTCCTCCTTTTGTCTGCCTTTTATTCTCCAAAAGTAAGTGGAAATTACATTTCCAAGAAAGGAAATGAAATAATTGCAGGCCCAAGGTCTGCAAAATGTGTGTTGAATTGACAGTGAAAAGGATCCATGTGTTGACAGACACAGTTGTTAGATGCCATAAAGGCCCATGTGAAGCTCAATTTATTTCTCATCTTGCTTGTTCAATGACTGCTTAAGAGACACATTTCAATTTAATTTATCTACTTAAAGCTCTAATACAAATACTCTGTGCTGCTGTATTAACTTTTAAACTTTGTAACTTAATGCTTGATTATTCAGTTCTTGACATTCTTTAGCTGAAATAACTAATGCCATATATTTTCATATTGATAGTCACGTAGCAAAGAAGAACGCCTCTCTGAAAAATCTGTCTATTATGTGCAGTTAAACTGTCCAAACGAATCCAACTATTTTGTGTATGAACATGGTTATTATTTATTATTATTTATTATTATTTAAACTTAGCTTTTGAAAGAGTAAAGGAAGCCTGTCTTAATGTAGTTACATGCAGGTTTTATTTTTTTTTTTTTTTTTTTTTTTATATATAGAGGCATGTTTTATTTATTTATTTGTTTGTTTGTTTATACATGCACTGGGTACAGTCAGAAGCACGGGAGGGTGAGAGAATTCACCAGAGCCAGAGCGGGGAACAGAACAGGCAGAAGGACAGAAGTACACTGCTGAGGGGAGCAGCGGGCGGCAGGAGAGGTCTGCGCGCCATGTGGGACCCTCCTCCGGTGGCCAAGGAGCAGCCGGGGATCGAACCGGCGCCGCAGAGACCGCGGGCAGCTTCGCAACCCAGCGTTCAACCACTGCGCCACTGGGGAGGCCCTACATGCAGGTTTTAAAAGTAAAAACTCACATGATTTATCCAGATTCCCGAACCTAGCCTAGCTGCCAGGAATGGAAAGGATTATTTGCAGGGCTGTTTCCATCTGGTTTTGATAATCAAGTTCACTCGGTTAGACTAACCGTAAAGCAGAAGCAACCACATTGTTTTACTTCACAGACCTAAATTGTCAGAGTACTTTGAAGTCAGATCAGCAATTAAAAGGTGAAATGTTTCCTTTGCTTTTTAAATCAGTCTTTACACTCTAGTGTTGCACCTTTATTTGGTCTGGGACACCACTCCCGTGTTTTGGACCAGTAGCACTCTCGGCTCTTGACGGAGAATCAAATTGGTCAAGGGAGGACATTGGTCACAGCGACATCTAGTATATGGTGTTGCCCATACTCTGTCCCTCCTTCTCTTCCCTCCGCTTCCCCCTCCACTTTGGCTCTTTGACCAAGTATCATTCCACCCGGGGCCCCTGGCTTCTGCTGTGCGCTCTTGCCTAATGTACTCTCCTACTAGCTACATGACTATTTCATCTCCATTAATTCCTTGCTTTTCAATCAGGCCTATCCTGAACATCCTACTTAAAATTGTAACTCATCTTTCCCAAATTCTGGCTCCTCTGTACCCTCCTTCGTTTTTCCTCCCAGCAATTACTTTCTATCATACTTTCTACTTTATTATATTTACTGCTTACTTTCTTCCCCTGCTAGGATGGAAGCTCCATGAAGGCAGGAATTTGGGGGATGCTGGTTTTGCTCACTGGTGTATCTCAAACACCTGGAACAATTCCTGCTTCCTGGGAGGCTCTTGATTAATACTTGTTGAATAAATAAATGATCGAACACATGTTCAGAATCAATAAAACTGCAGAATATCAGTGATTAGAACACTCAGCCAGCATTTTCCCATTATTCAACAATCACACATATAAGCAACCTAGATATTAAAGGTTTTTGTTTGTTATCTGACTAATTGGAGTTTTTAAACATTTTGTAAATGCTCAGGAGCCATTTACATTCAGCCTAATCTTGCATATCTTCTGCATCTTTGTACCTACATAAGACAAAACCATCAGAGGCACTAGAATACTGAGTTGTAAAAGGAAGATCCAGTTGTCTTTATTTGATTGACTTCAGTGGGCAGGAAAGTTTGCTAACCTTCTCAAAAAGACACTAAGTGTAAGGGTAGAAACAAAGATGTCTCCTCATAACCTCTTTTTTTTTTTTTTTTTTATACTTTTTTTTTTTTTTTTAAGATTTATTTATTTATTTATACAAGCACAGGGTACAGTCAGAAGCGCGGGAGGGTGAGAGAATTCACCAGAGCCAGAGCGGGGAGCAGAGCAGGCAGAAGGACCGAAGTACACTGCTGAGGGGAGCAGCGGGTGGCAGGAGAGGTCTGCGCACCATGTGGGACCCTCCTCGGTGGCCGGGGAGCAGCCGGGGATCGAACCGGCGCCGCAGAGGCCGCGGGCAGCTTCGCAACCCAGCGCTCAACCGCTGCGCCATCCGGGAGGCCCTCCTCATAACCTCTTAACCAGAAAATTAAATAACATCCAGCTATTCTGGTGAAGTTTTTTGTTTGTTTGTTTTAATCAATTCCTAAAATCAGCATAGATGTGTATTCTAAATAACTGAATAACTCCTACCCAGTAAGTTATAGAACCAAAGCTATATGGGTTTATTTCCCAAGGACTTAATGAGAAGGCTAGAGACACCTTTAATACTTAATTGCAAGAATTCTCCATGAGCAGTGTGGTCGCTTTCCTGAGCTGTGCCTTGCAGTGTGTGCACAGGTTGGGAAAGTGGCGTCCTGGTCTTTCAGAACTTGACCTTCAAAATTACGTAGGGCTTGAAGCCTGGGCTTGCCATTTATCATCTTTAAAACCTTGGACAAGTTATTTAATCTTTGGCTGGTTCCTCATGTGTAAAATGAGGAATGCTTTTCAGGGTTGTCATGAAAATTAGATAATCTATGAAAGTATCACAATAAATTGCTTTTCTAGCCTATGCTAAAGTTATAATGGTGGGCCATTACTGGATAATCAGAGACAAAAGTGAAGAGTTGAAAGCTGAGATACTGGACACCTGGGTTTTGGCTGGGCCTGGTGACCTTAGGAATGTCTTGTAACCTCTTTGTTCTGTTTTCTTTTTGTTGTGTTTTTCCTTATCTAAAATTGAGGCAGGAAAATTTGACACTCTCTAGAATCCCAACAATTCCTTACAAATGTAGTTACATGGTAAAACTCTCCACAGATAAGATAAAGAACACAGCTAAGCACTTATCAGCTGCCTATAATGTGTCTCTCAATACAGGTTTCCAGTAAAACACACAAATTCCTAGAAGTGTAAGATAAATTTTAAACATCAGAATTTATCAGTCTGAATCAAGGTAACTGTGATTCTTCAGAATAGTACTTTTAGAGGTTAGAGATTCTCATTCCACCTCTGTGGCTGTTGCCCCAAATGCTTTTTGGATGGAAATTTCTGATCACAGAGGAAATAAATTGGGTTATTTTGGATTATCACCCTCCATCCTCACAACACCCCTTCCTCTCTCCTCCTCGTAAGGCAGACCTATGCAATTAAAATATCTCTTGTCAAAGAAAGAAAATATTAATTCAGAAAACAAAGAATTCTGTAAAAGGAGAGCCAGTCTGAATTAGAAAAATTACTTGAACGTGGTTGGAAAGAGATCACTTTGTTTTTCATGCCAAATGTCCCATAAAGAAGGGGTGTGCTTCATAAACTTTGGCTATTAGCATATCAGAATATGCCTAATCTACATTAGTCTTTAGCATAAATTCTGTGTGTACTTTTTAAAATTTATTAGAATTTTATTGGTTTAATGAAGATATCTGA